GCCACAGAGAGAGCCTTGTGTTCAGAGAGAGCTGCAGTAAGGGCTAGTTTTGGGTTAAGAATCTAAACAGGAGGTAAATAAGCACAGTTCTTTCCATCAGAAGACTGGCCTAGGGATACAGCTCAAGCAACCACAGCCACATTAAAAACCCAGCCAGGGGCAGGCCTCTTCCTGAAAAAACAGCCCAGAACAGAAAGTACATAACCCCAGCTAAGTCAGTCCCTGAACTTCTTGGCTATACAAATTAAATCCACCAAGTTCAGCACTTCACCCCCAGAGTCACAGTGGTGTTCTGGAGATGCTGAGACACAGGTGCCACTTGGCAGTGACAGAACAAGGGTGCTGTAAAACAGGAACAATGACCCTCTGTAGCTCCAGCTTTTAGTTGCCTTTTAAGGATTTTTTTCCCCATTGAAGTAAGAACTACTCAGAGAAGTTATAATTGCTGTTTCATTGCCATGCTGAATCACCCCTAAGTGTTATATAGTGTTCTGCTATACAACTCAAGAACGCAGTGTGATGTACCCTTTTTATTTAAAAAAACCTGCCAACAGAGAGGAACATCATATTCCAGTAACCATCTCCAAAATGCCACATATGGAACTTAAACTCAGGCTCACTAGACTTGCACCCAGGAGTAAGGTTATGCTGCTCCTGCTGGAGCCAGTCCTGCACCAGGGGCTCATTCTGACAGCCTGAAGTCAAACCCAGCCAAACACAGACTGTGCCCGTCTCTACTTGTCTTGAAGAACAAAAGGGCTGAGCACAAAGCAAAAGATGACTCAAGTACATTTCTGTACCAAAATATTCTTTTTGCTGGAGGTTAGAAGTGTTTTAAGTGACTCTCATTTAACTCTGCATTGTAGAGATGTACGAACAGTTCCCCTTTGCCACAACTCTTCACACTCCTCTAACACACACGAGTGCTTCCCTGACCATCCTGCTGTGGGACACCCCAGATGTGGTCAGGAACAAAACAACCCATGAATTGAGAGTCACTGAAGAAAAACAGATCAAAGGAACAGGAAGAAAACAAAGGTTATTATTAATTACTACTTACAAAGCACCTTTTAATATTAAATGCTTCTAAGTAAATAAAGAAAACATTTTGCAATTAAAATTCAAGTTTATTCTGCCAGGACAGGAACTCAGAAGGATCCACTCTTATACAAACAGCCAGCCAAAAGCTTCTTGCCCGCTGGGAAATCCCTTCCAGCACCAGGCTGGCAGAGCCAGACCCTGCTTAAATCCCACTCTGGATAAAGGAGAGGGACACATCATGGAGAAGACCAAGTGCTTCCCTGCCACCAGCCCTCTGAAGCTGCCCCATCAGTTAACATTCACTGACACTAAATCCTAATGGATTTAAATCCCTGTTTGAGGTGCCCCAGGAATTTCTGCAAGTCCTCTAACCCAGAGAGCTACAGCAGCCCTTTTTTCCATTTCAGCAGGCAAATCCAGAGCTGCACCTCCAGCAAACCTGAGGCAGCAGGTTAACCTCCACATCACAAATCTGCAATGCAGGTTCATGTGGTTAAAAAGCCAGAACTGGGAAGCAGAACTGGGAGTGCCACTTCCTTTAGGACTGTAACCCAGCAGCTCCAAGTCCTGCAGGTGCAAATGCTTCCCAGTGTTCTGGGAACACGGCTCTGTCGGATATTCCAACATGTGGAACCACCCAGCCTGTGGGAGTTTACCAGAATAACTGCAGCACCACTGGGCTTCCTGATTTTTTTCAATATTATAAAGCTCCAGGATTTAAAATTTCACACATCATCAGGTTTTCATTAATTTTCATTTCAGCCCTTGATCCCACCTAGTGAGGCACAGCAGGGAAACTAAAGCAATTCCTTATTTTCCTGGGGGGCAGTGAGAACCACCTGCAGCAACAAGCTGCCACACTTACCTTTGCTTCATAAAGGAGAGGTCCATGGAAACAAAGCACTCGCTCACCTGGAAGAAAGGTCCAGATAAACATCTTAGAACACCCCAGTGCCATCTCCATACCACGTGTCAGCCAGGCCAGCTGCACACAAACCACGGCCAGGCCTGCCCAGAGTGGGGCACAACAGCTGGGACTTTGGCAGGGAACTGCCACCAAAACTCACATCCCACACCCCACTGCAAGGCTGGCACACACGACTCCCTCAAAGCCTCCAGTTCTGGCTGCAGACCCCAAAACACACTGGCTCCATACAGCACACTGCAGTCCAAGTGCTCACACAGCACACAGGGAAAACTGCCTGGCTCTGAGGGATCCTTCAGTCCTCTGACACTACACTTTGGTCTCCACCAGGACATTAACTCTCCTGAGAGATCCCACCTCTGCACCTCAAGCTTCTGACACATGAAAGCCACTGTCACCTGTGCACCTTTCCCTGCAGGAAGAACAGCACCTGGTATTCCCAGTGCAGCGCAGTCAGGAAGAGACACCCCCCCACACTTCCCCATCTGATGTGTGGGATGGAACAGTGCTGGGTCTGTGGAAGAGCAACAAAAACTGTTCACTTTGAGGGTTTTATATAGGATGAGACTGTTCTTCACCCTGTTTTTTTTCTCCTCAATGGCAAGGCCTTACTGTGTGGTTACACTGTGGGAATTTCAATGTACTTCACAGGATACCTGAGCCCAGATGTTTCCTTCTGGAAGCTGCAGTGCCTCACATGTTTTGGGGAGATGAGCTGCAGAACTAGAAAATGCTTCTGTGCATCAAGAAAGCAAAAGATTTAGAAAGGTTCTCACAGAAGTGCCCATTTTGATACATGACATGGTCAGTACTTTTATTTAAAGAAAGCAAATGTCAGTATAATTAAGGCTGACAATCAGAGGTGACATTATTCTCCTCCTGTGTCACCGTGCTTACAAGTGCTGGTGGAAACACCTCTCTATTTCCATTGTTGCTCAGTGTTTTCTAGGTGAGATGTCCGCAGCTCCTGCGAAATACTTATTTTTGAAAATCACACAGCCGTTTGGCGTTCTTTGTTTCCGTGATAACCTGGCAGGCTCTCGCTCCCTCACTGCAGCCTCTGCCGTGAATCCCCCACACTGCAGCGACACAGCCACACCTATCCCTGATCCCAAAGGCCACCCCATCCCAGCGACACAGCCACACCTATCCCTGATCCCAAAGGCCACCCCATCCCAGCGACACAGCCACACCTATCCCTCATCCCAAAGGCCACCCCATCCCAGCGACACAGCCACACCTATCCCTGATCCCAAAGGCCACCCCATCCCAGCGACACAGCCACACCTATCCCTGATCCCAAAGGCCACCCCATCCCATCGCAGTCCTGCCCTGGCCAGGGCCACCTCCCACTGTCCCAGGCTGCTCCAAGCCCTGTCCAACCTGGCCCTGGACACTTCCAGGGATGGGGCAGCCACCTTCCTATATTATTTCTCTTATTTATATCACTACCAACAACAATCGTAAGCTAAAAATCGAAATACATGCGGGAAAAGCCTGGCAAGGAGCCCGATTCACCCTCGTTCCCCTCAAGCCCCGGTGCTTTGTGGCAAACATGGATTCCGGCCCAGCCGCGACCCCGGCGCTGCCTGCACGGATCCCCCTGCGCTGAGCTCCCTCTCGGGGAAAAACAAACCTTCCACGCGCGAGGAAACGATCCCCTGACAGCCCCGGGGATCGCAACAGTTTTAACGCCCAGGAAGGTCCAGGCCCTTCAAAGGGCGAGGAACCGAAGGGCCTTCAGAATAACAGGGGGTGGGAAGGGCCCGCGCGTCACTGGGAGGAAAGAGCAGGCACAGGAAGAGACAAAGACTGCGGGAATTCGGCTTTCCCACGAATTCCCAAATCCTCAGGGCTGAGCAGCGAGGGATTAGAGCGAGATCACCCTCAAGGCACGAGCACTGGGTGCAAATCGCCGCAGCGGGCAGCGACCGGCGGCCGCCACACCCCGGGCCCCTCGCAGGGCACCCCACCCGCTCCCCTCGCACTCACCCTCCTGGAATTTGGGCTTGGGATCCTGCTTGGGCGCCATTTATAAGGGCCGGTCCCTGCTCCGCCCGCTCCCCGCGGGGCCTCAGCGCCCGCGCCGCATCCCGGCCCGGCCCCGCCGCGCAGCCGCGCCCCGGGCATGGCGGGACATGGAGTCCGGGCCATCCCCGCCCCCGGCGCACGCCGTGCGGGGGCACAGCACAGCGCCGGGTGTGCAGTGGTGGCCGCCGGGGCCGCGAGCAGCGAGAAAGGGGGGAAAATAATGAAAAAAAAAAAAAGGAAAGAAGAGGAAAATTTCATGCGCCCAACGTGGGGCTCGAACCCACGACCCTGGGATTAAGAGTCCCATGCTCTACCGACTGAGCTAGCCGGGCGCTGTGTTATTCGTGCGCCGCCCTCGCCACTCGGCATAGCTCCGCGCGACCGGCGCTGCGGCCGCCAGGGGGCGCGCGCGGTCCCCGCTCGTTTGTATATTACGTCATCGCTTAATTAAATGTACATCTCCCTCTCAAGGCCGGCAGGGGCGGAGAAGAGGGAGACGCGGCCCTCCGGGGAAAGCTGCAGGGTGTGGGGGCCACGAGCGGCACCAGGAGGGGTGTTTAATGGCGCCAAGTTACCGCAGGTTTGCGCTCCCTGTTCGTTTTAACCTGAGAGGAAATAAAGAGAGGCAGCGAGGGGTAGCACCGGCTGGGGGGGGACACGGCAGCGTCAGCCAAGCACTCTTTCCCATTTTCAACGAAAATTCGCCGAAATGTTTCCTTTTCCACCGCAATCCCTGCGGCGGAGCACAGAGCGCAACGGGAGCGCCGCCAGGGGGCGCCCGAGCGCCGCGCCGAGCGCCGGCAGAGCGCGCTGCCCGCCCGGAGCCCCGCCCCCGATGCGCGTAGCCCCGCCCCGTGCTCGTAGCCCCGCCCCGTGCTCATAGCCCCGCCCCGTGCTCATAGCCCCGCCCCCGATGCTCATAGCCCCGCCCCCGCCGCCCCTGCCGGCGGGCTCCCCCAGCGCCGCAGCCATGGCGGCCCCGGCCGGGCTCCTGCCCCTGCTGCCCCTCCTGCCCCTCCTGCCCGGCCTGGCGCTGGCCGCGGGCACGGCCGCAGGGACCGCGGGGACAGGTCCGCGCGGGGACCGCGGGAGGGGCGCGCGGGGTGTCCGCGGGGATGCGCGGGGATGGATGCGGGATGTCCGCGGGACGCGGGGATGTCTGCGCGGATCCCCGCGGGATGTCCGTGCGCCGTGGGGATGTCCGCGGGGATGCGCGGGGTGCTCCGCGGGGCCGTAGCCGGGCACCACGGTGCCCCCCGCCGCTGCAGCCCTTCCCCGGCGGGCTGGGCAGGGTCGGACCCGGCTCCCCCCGGCACTCCCCGGTGCCCCCCGGCTCCCCCCGGCACTCCCCGGTGCCCCCCGGCTTCTCCCGGTTCTCCTGCGCTGCGCCCCAGCCGGGGAGGCTCCGGGGCGCTCAGTGCCCTGGGGTTGCTTTGCCCCCGGAGACGGCGTGCGAACACCGTTTCCAAGCTGGGATTTGATTTTTTGCGGGTTTTTTCGTTGTTTGGTTGGTGGTTTTTTTTACTGGCAGCTGGAGTTTAGCAGCGGGAGTGTGTGCATGGAAACCGGGACCAGCCCCGGCAGAGCGGAGCTCTGGAGCTGCCCGATCCCCCCCGTCCCTCCCCACCCGATCCCTGACCCTGACCATAACCCTGTCCCCATGGCAAACCCCAGCCCTGACCCCCCGGGGGCACGAGGGGCAGGTGGGGGCCCTGCTCTTCGCTGCTCCGTGCCGTCCCAGTGGACACCAGTGACCTGATCCAACTGGTGTTTGGGTCCCTGCCGCGGGAGTTCACCCAGCGGAAGGAAGGGGTGGGAGAGGACAGGTGAGGAGCCCTGCAGGTAACCCCTGCACCCCCTCTCCCCAGAGCCGCCCCCGCCGCCCCCGGGCAGCGACATCGTTCATCCCATCAAGGTTGACGAGAGCGGATCCTTCTTGTCCTACGACCTGACCCACCGAGCCCTTCACCGGAGGTCTCCTGCCTCCAGGAGCAAGTTCCCTGCCTTCTACGAGCTGCATTACAAAGGACAACCCCTGAAATTCAACCTGAGCCTCAACAGGAACCTCCTGGCCCCGGGCTTTGTCAGCGAGAGGCGGTTCGGGGGCATCGCCGGCGCCAAGATCCAGCCGCACACCTCCAACCCCTGCCACATGATCGGGGAGGTTCGGAGCCGGGCGGAGGGAGGGCTGGCTGCCCTCAGCACCTGCGATGGCCTGGTAAGTACAGCCCTGACCCATAACGATCCTTAATCCACAAGGAAACAGGAGGAGCCAAGTCCCCCTTTCTGCTGAAAGCGACGGCAAAACTCCCGGCGGCAGCAGGGTCAGGATCCCAGCACGTAGGGCTGATGTGGCCGTGGATGAGCTGACTGTAAATTTCCCATGGATTCCAGTGGTTTGGGAACCCTCCGGGGCTGTGTTTCCTTGTTTGTGTCCAAATTCCCAAAGACAGCAATTCTCTGCCTTCTAGTACATAACTGTGTGGTTGTGAGCACAGTGAGGGGCTCGGAGCTGGAGGTGTTAATGACAACACAGCTCGTGGGTACTGAAGCTACTCCCTGTTTCCTGAACTCTCCCCTGCCTTGTTCCAAAGGTGATAGTGTGGAAGAGTAACAGTTTTGGGGGAAGGGTGTAAAATCTCCCGTGGGTTCACAGAAGTGGTACCACGTAACTGGGGATGTGCAGATCCCCGTTCCCGAGGGGGCTATGGGATGATAGGGGCATTGGGGTTGGGAACCCCTCTGTGTCCCCAGCACGGGCACGGGACAGAGGGAGGGATCACCAGCAGTGCCTATGCTGGTGTCTCCCAGTTTGGAGGGATGACAACTCCATGGGATCCTTGGTCTGCTGCTGCTCTCAGGTGGGGGCTGTGTTTGCTTTTTGAGTTTTCTGTGTTTGAATAAACGGCTTTCCACTGCCAGAGGGCAGAGTTAGATGGGATATTGGGAAGGAATCCTTCCCTGGGAGGGTGGGGAGGCCCTGACACGAGTTGCCCAGAGAAGCTGTGGCTGCCCCATCCCTGGGAGTGTTCCAGGCCAAGTTGGACAGGGCGTGGAGCAACGTGGGCTAGTGGGAGGTGTCCCTGCCCATGGCAGGGAGTGGGATGGGGTGAGCTTTGAGATCCCTTCCATCCCAAGCCATTCCAGGATTCTGTGATTCTAATGGTCACTCCCAGGCCCTTCAGTGTAACCCTGTGCTCAATGCAGGTGCCTTCACAGTGCCCCCTTGTCTCTCCTGCCAGAAAGGCGTGTTCCGGCTCCTCAACGAGGACTATTTCATCGAGCCGGTGTCCAGCAGCCCCCGGGAGGACGGGGCAGCTCAGCCCCACAGGATATACAAGCGCCAGGCCCCCAAGGACGGGGCAGAGCAGGGCAGGAGCCCCCCACCCCCCCGGGAAACCTGCGGCGTGCCAGGTACTGCCCCTTCCTCTGGCAACGTTGGTGCCACCAGTGACTCAGTGTGTGCTGAACCCCTACGTGTGCCTCTCGCTCTCCTCTCCTCCCAGCCTGCTGCAAGCAGGGAGATGATGGGGAGGCTGAGCCTTTGCTTTCATTCCCTTGAAAACTTCAGTTTAGACCTGCTGGGGTGTTGGACTTCGGGAGTGAAGTCACTGCCCAGGGAGTTCCTGCTGCAGGCAGAAAGTGTGTGTGGCTCCTTCTCTGTCCAGAGCACATGGGTTGGATAAACTCCCAAATGCAGGATTTCAAGTGCTGAGGCTCTTGAGCTCAGCACCCCATCAGCTGAGGCATCCCCAGCAGCTCAAGGGCACTGTACTCCTCAGTGAAGCTGCACCTTCCAGGCAGCACATCTTGGTTTGCTATTTCCTGGAGCTCTCTGCTTTCAGTAACTGGGGGTTTTTTGCTATGATCAGATTATTTTCAGGCATTCTTCTGATAATCTAAATCAATTATTTAATCTGTAGTAATAATCTTAACGGCTTCTTCAAGTCTTTGAATTCTTTTCTTGACTCAAGTCTATTCTTGACTTTGAAGTGTATCCTTGAAAATTCATTTCTTGGGGTGTACTATGGCCCATGTGGATCTCCCTTGCAGTCAGGGCTAGCAGGGTGGATGTGCTGGGCATGCCCTGGAAAGGAATCCCAAAGTCTGTAGGATTTTAGTGACTGCCACCCTTCCATCCTGCCCTGATGTATTGCTGGTTTACTTTGCAAAGCATCACAACAGCCAGATGGTGCTGGGCTGCTGGGTGTTGTTTAGCTTCTGTCAGTACGTGGTACAGCCTGTCTGTACAGCTGGGCAAGTGTTTGAGAGGGATCATCCCAAAGGAAAATGCCCCACGAGCCCCCCGGGACCCCTGGGCACCCTCTGCTCTGCAGTACCCTCACGTCCTGGCTGGAAGCTCAGCAGCCAAGGACACAATGGAAACAAGCTCCAAGGAAGCCACTGCGATTAAACTGTCACAGTGGTATTAGCAATTCATCAAATTATCCAGATAGTTGGGATTTTTCAGGCTGGGGGATCAAACGCCCTTTCACAGCTAACGTACACTATAGTCCATAAAATGTAAAAGTCCATTGTTAGGGAAGAGAGGCTGAGCCTCCCAAACTGGTCGTGAAAGCGATTCCCACTGTGTGGGATGAGGTTTGTAAAGCCTTCACCCAGCTTGGGGCTGACCCTGACCTTGATCTTGGAGCAGCGTCACAGGGAAAGTCTCCACTGGAGAATTCCCAGTTGCTGGTGTGCGTGAGGAGCTCTCCTCCGCCTCCGGCCCCTGCTCAGCCCACTGAACATTCCCGTTGTTTCTCCTTGGGAAGGAGCAGAGTTCAGTCTCCATGTGCCTGAGGAAATCTCTGTGCTGTCCTGCCAGGTCTCGGCTCGCCCAGGGCACTGATGGCTGTGGGATTTGGCTCAAGACTTCAGTCCAGCTCTGGGGGCACAGAATTTATCCTGCTGGGAACTGTGCCTCCCTGAAAAATATAGATCTGGGATGATAATCCGAAATGTTGAGCCACCAGGGTTGTTTCTCAGGGTTTCTCAGGTTGTTTCTCAAGCATCTCTGCAGGGTTGCCTGTAAATTCCCGTGTCAGTACAAACCCTAAAACTCTGCTCTGGGAGGCTCCGTGTTCCTTGTGGAATATTGCAAGCCCTGTTCCAGTCAAAGAAATTACTTCAAATGCTTTGTTTGTTTTTCTATCATGCTCATGTGCAGCAGACTGAGCTCAGAGTCTTCTGGAGCACAGAGCACAGCAAAATGCACATAAGTTATGGGTCTAAGTGTGGAGTCTTCTCCACACCAAAGGTTATTCCTTTGAACTAAAAAAAAAAAATAAAATATTTTATCAAAATTGCAGACATTTCATCAAGAAAAAAAGACCTTTTTTCCCCGTCTAATCCCTCAGAATCTCAGGAAAGCCTGGAGCGGTCTGAGAGGCGCAGGGAACGGTGGGAGCAGAGGCAGCACAGGAGGAGAAGAATTAGGCAGCGCTCCATCAGCAGGGAGAAGTGGGTGGAAACACTGGTGGTGGCAGACACCAAGATGGTGGAGTTCCATGGCAGTGAGAACATCGAGAAGTACGTGCTGACCGTGATGAACATGGTGAGTCCTGGCCGGGCAGGGCAGAGCCATAGTGTGACACATGGAATCAGGGAATCAGGGAATGGTTGGGCTTGGAAGGGACCTCAGAGCTCATCCAGTTCTACCCCTCTGTGGGCAGGGACACCTTCCACCAGACCAGGTTGCCCCAAGCCCCGTCCAACCTGGCCTTGGACACTTCCAGGGATGGGGCAGCCACAGCTTCTCTGGGTAGAAGACCCCAGGGCTTGCCAGGACTCATCCCTGGTGGCACCTCAGCAAAGCTCTCACCACTCAGGCTCTTCCCACTCCCCTTGGCTTTGCTGCCCTGCTCAGTGCTCTGACCCCACGGGAGGACGGGTGGGTGGCAGCAAACCTGAGGGCAAAACCTCTGTGCAGGTGAGAGCAGCTCAGCCAACACCATTTCACCTTCCTGTGGGGCTCAAGGGCTGCTCCTTTCTGCTTCCCTCCATGGGATGGGTGAAGTGGCCTCCCAGGGAGGTCCCCCAAAGGGAGACATGCTCCAGGGAAGGGAGGTGGTTGGTGCCAGAGCTGGCACTGTCTGGGTTAGCAGGAGAGATGGGAACAGCTTTTCTGGGAAGGAGCACCAGATTGTGGTGGGAATGTGGAGGAGTCTGCTGGTGCCACAGAAGAAGCAGATAAGTCAGGGTGAGTTGGTTCAGTCTGTTCCCTCTTCTGCTGCCGGGGCAGCACCTCTTTGCATTCCAGAAGAGAGCTTTGGCTGATGCCAGGAAAGGGTGGGATTGGGCAGAGGACCTCAGGTAACATCCCTGGATTTCTGGGGGGTGGTGAAGGCACCCAGAGAGCACCGAATTCCTTTGAGATGTTAAACACATCTCTTGGTGAGAGCAGAGGGGTTCCCCAGGCGTTTCGGGATGAGTTCCAGCCTCTGCACAGATCATATCCAGTGCAAATGGAAATCATCACAGGCCTCGGTCCAGGCCCGTGTCTGTTCTTGCCTTGATTTGGGGAATTCCCCGAGATGTGTCAACAGCCTCCAGCAGCTTCCCCTGGAGCTCCTGTTCCTGCAGAGGGACGTGCCAGCAGCCGTGTCCCGGGGCTGGGCTCTGTCCTGAGCCGTGTTTCCTTGGCATTCCCGTGTCACAGGTGGCGGGGCTGTTCCACCACGCCAGCATCGGGAACCCCATCAACATCGCCATAGTGCGGCTCATCCTGCTGGAGCACGAGGAGGTGAGAGCGAACAGCGTGACTCGCCCGTCCTGGCAGCCAGGCTGGGATGCACTGGGAGCTGGCCTGGAAAGCCAGGCTGGGATGCACTGGGAGCTGGCCTGGAAAGCCAGGCTGGGATGCACTGGGAGCTGGCCTGGAAAGCCAGGCTGGGATGCACTGGGAGCTGGCCTGGAAAGCCAGGCTCCCTCCCGTGCCGTCTGCGTGGCCTGGAGGAGTTTGTGTAAGAGAAATCCAGCATTTGCGCCCTCGTCTTGGCCAGAGGAGTCAGGGACAGCGTGGCCAGAGGAGCTGCTGAGTCTGATTTTTAGGATGGTTTGTGCTAACTCAGCATGGGTGTGGGAGCAGAGGGCTGTGGGTCGCTGGGTGGCCGTGTCCCAGCTGCAGTGGTGGCTCTGAGGCCACTCAGACGGGCTCCCAGCTGTGTCCTTCGTCCCCAGCCAGGACGGGATATTTCCCTGCAGTGTTTCTTAACCCCCATTACTGGATGATTTCATGTTTTGGTTGAATCACAGATGAAAAGAAAGCAGGAAAAGGACTTTCTTCCCACCCGGCCTACAACCTATAAACATGGAGCAGTTCCATCTGGATGGCAGTCACTGCCGATTCCACTCCCATGTGTCTGAGATCAGACCCCTCCCCTCTCCACCCCAAAACCCAAACAGCTCCAGCAGTGATAGGACAGCAGGCTTCTTCTCTTTCAGGAGGACCTGAAGATCTCCCACCATGCAGACAACACCTTGAAAAGCTTTTGCAAGTGGCAGAAGAGCATCAATGTGAAAGGAGATTCCCATCCCCTGCACCACGACGTCGCCGTCCTGCTCACCAGGTATCGTGTCCTCCTGATGTGCTGCTGTAGGTGCTGCTCTGTCAGGAAGAACCTGCCCTGGCTGCAGGTAGAGGGGCAGGCAGAGGAACATCCCGGGGGGAGCTGGTGAAACCTCCCTGTCCACGCCTGAGCCCTGCCTGGACACCTGCACCTAAGATATGGAACATGAAATTGGGAGATATCTGGCTCCTAACGGCTGGAACTGTGCTGGAAGGTGTCCCTGCCCATGGCAGGGGGCTGGAATGAGATGAGCTTTAAGGTGCCTTCCGACCCAAACCATTCCAGGGCTCATTGATTCTATGAACTGGTCTCAAATCTCAGGTTTCCAGCTGAAGTTTCCAAACCAGGCCCTCTTGCCAAGCCCCAGAGCGGCTGGATCCTCCCAGGAGTTGTACACAGGGATTAACTCTCCTTTTTTTCCTGGAGGCTGGGCTTGGCAGAGGAGCCTCTGGGAAGCCCCTGACCTCCCATGGAGCCAACAGGAATTCATGGCTCTGGCCAAGTTTATATACCTTACAGTCAAGCCCTGCTCTGAGGGTTTCAGGCTGCCGTGCCTTGGCTTTTGGCAGCATTGTGGTGGTTTGGGTGATGATTCACAACCCACAACAGCTTTATCTTCTCTGGGAAGTTGCTTTGTAGCAGAAATGAGGCGCTTCAGGCCTTGTACTTAATGGAGTTGTTCCTCCTGGGTGGCTGGAGCCGCCCTGGACCACAGCACCCCTGGGCTGTGCTTCCCCATAGGAATTGCTTTATTATTCCAGCATCAGTTTTATTTATACAACGGAATAAACGCAGGCAGCAGTTCCCATTAATCAGGCTCAATAATGAGCTGGGGATACGGGGAGAGGAAAGGGGAAAGGAAAGGTCGTCAGTGTTTCCATTGTGGAGGCCGTTGGATGGCTCCATTCTCACTTCTGTCTGGCCGCTGTCCGTGTGTCTGGGCCGTGTCCCACACTCTGTCCTGCCGCCTTCCAACGCCCTCTCTGCTCTGTGTCTGTCTGTCTGTCCCTGTCGCCCAAGGAAGGACATCTGTGCTGCCATGAACAGGCCCTGTGAGACGCTGGGGCTGTCCCACGTGGCGGGGATGTGCCAACCCCACCGGAGCTGCAACATCAACGAGGACACGGGGCTGCCCCTGGCCTTCACCGTGGCCCACGAGCTCGGACACAGGTACCACCAGCTTCCTCCTCCTCCTCTTCCTCTGCGCTGCTCAGTCAGGGCTGGACAAGGCACGGGGGGAAGTTGGGAGAAGGTTCCCAGTGGTTCCTCACTGCTGCAACCTCTCCTTTCTCCCCCAGGGATTTCATTCCAGAGTTTAGTTTTTGGTTGCCCCATGTTTAATGAAAACCACATAATCCAAGGCAACCTGGACAAATTGTGTTTATGTATTACCCTGTGCTAGTTTGGGAAGGCTTTGGAGCAGCTTTAAAACAGGATCTGTCTGTAGAATCAGCAACAGATTTCAATCAAATTTTGACAAGATCACTTGAACACCATAGTTCCCAATAGACATCTGTGTGGGGGAAAACACCCACCAGTAAGTTTAATTAGATGATCTTGTTCAATATTCCTGAGTATTCAGTGGGAAATAAAAGCACAGGACAAAGTTGGGGGCAGTGTCCTTGGTATCAGTAAAACGTCCCCCAGGGCCAGGCCCCTGTCCCTGTCCCTGCCCATGTCCCCATGGTGCTGGATGCCCTGTCCCTGCCCATGTCCCCATGGTGCTGGATGCCCTGTCCCTGCCCTGTCCCTGGTGCTGGATGCCCTGTCCCTGCCCAGTCCCTGGTGCTGGATGCCCTGTCCCTGCCCTGTCCCTGGTGCTGGATGCCCTGTCCCTGCCCGTGTCCCCGGGGCTGTGCCGGGGCCGTGTCCGGTGTCGCGGTGCCGGGAGGCGGCGGCTGCATGGTTGTGGTGGCCGTGGCTCATCTCCCCTCTGTGGGACTATGCTCTTACACAGTTTTGGGATTCAGCATGATGGAAGCAGCAATGACTGTGAGCCAGTTGGGAAAAGACCTTTCATCATGTCTCCACAGCTCCTGTATGACACGTCCCCACTCACCTGGTCCCGCTGCAGCCGCGAGTACATCACACGGTTCCTCGAGTAAGTCCTTCCTCCTCTTCTTCCTCGCTGGGCGTGCTGGGGGAGCTCGGGGCCGGGGCACAGGGGGATGCTTTTACCTCTCAGAGTTTCTGTCTAAGAGCATCTGGGGGTCTTTTACCCAGAAAAGCTGTGGCTGCCCCATCCCTGTGAGTGTCCAAGGCCAGGTTGGACGGGGCTCGGAGCAACTTGGGCTGGTGGAAGGTGTCCCTGCCCATGGCAGGGGGTGGCACTGGATGGGCTTTAAGGTCTCTGCCAATCCAAACCATTCTATGATTCCATGACCTCCCTGGGCTGCCTCCCCCATGCTGTGGAGAGGGTTCAGGAGTGTTTGGGTGGCACAGGGGCTGTGGTTGCACAAGCAAAGCCAGAGTGGTTTCCTCGATGCTCTCGGCAGTCCCTGCACGGGCTGGATGTTGTCACCCTGAGGAGGCATCACGTGGGGAAACGAGACCCAGCCAGATTCCTCCCCGGGTTTGTTTATTTTTAGCACCCAGGACTGATTTTTCAGGCTGTTGTTATGAAGTTCCAAGGAACACAGCCCAGATATTTACGTCTGTCAGTAACTTGCACTGGAGGAACATTTTCCTTCCTTGCTACGGGAAGGTTTGAAAACAATGAGGAGCAGCAGTGGGAGAGCTGGATGAGGGGCTGGTGCTCCGTGGTGGGGAGGCTGCCAGGGCTGAACTCCTGCTCCTAAACCCCAGCCTGGGACATGTGGGCTTGGCCCCGTGCAGGGGGAATTATTGTTGATTTATGGCTTTCAGAGGAATGGAGCCTTTCTGTATCTGGAGTGCTCTTGGCCCTCTGCTTTTAACCTTCACTTTTGCATTTAGAATTTCCTGCTTGTGATGACCTTGGGTTGCTCTGAGCTGGGATGGGGGAGAGACAAAGCAGCTGGGTGCTCCTCTGGTTGGGTTTTGGTCTCTTTACCCCCCCAGAAGGGGCAGCTCTTCCTTCAGAAGGAAGCCAGCAGGCATCTGTCCCTGGCTGTGACATCCCCGAGGCCAGGGAGAGGCCAGGGGCCAGCACAGACATGAGTTGTTATGATGTGGTGTTGGCAGGAGGACAGGAAGGAGTGAGCCAGAAAATGGGACCCTGCTGACCTGGGGTTGCTGGCTGTGCTTGGAACAGGCCTCACGTTTGGAGAAAAGCCACTCTCAGATGATGATTATTATTCTTGTACAGAAGATTATTATTTTACAAGCACTGCTGAGTGTTTAAGGATCTCCAAGTGATTCCTGGCAGTGGCACAGCCCTGGCACTGCAGGGCAGCCAGGGCTGGAGACCCTCCTGGGTCAGGGTCTGCTCAGACACCCAGGGGCACTGGAAGAGGTCCCTTCCCTGCTGTGGCAGTGGTGTCCCCAGGGAAGGACCCTCCCTGGCTCAGGCTGATGTGGGATGCCAGCACAGGCAGCAGTTCTGGGATTTTCCCCTCTCCCCACTGCAGGATGCTGTAAGGCTCTTTGTTCCCCCCCTCACCATGGCACGAGCTCTTTCCCAGCCCAGCTGGTGGAACATCCTTGTCAAACAGGATCTGGTGTCTCATGGATGCCTTCCCTGCACCCTGATCCCGGGATGGATGGAGCAGCCTCCCTTCATTTCTGCAGCCCTGGCACAGCTGCAGTCTCTCCCTTCTCCCTTCAGTCTTTGCTCTGCATCAAACAACCAGTTTTTCAGCCTCTTTCCACAGTGCTGGAGCTCTTCTTCCATCATCTCCTCTTCCCAGGGCCTGGGGCTGGCTGCTCCTGCCAGCTCCACCAGCTCCTGGCTGTGCAGCTGATTCTGCCCAAGCTCCAATCGCTCCAATCCTTGCCTTTGTTTTTATTGAATTCTGTCCTGGCTCTTTCTAGACCCTTCCTCCAGTTCTTTCAGAGCTTTTGGAATTTTAATCCTGCTCTCAAATGTATCTGCAGATCCTCCCAGCCTGCTCACAGATGGGGATTTAATCATCCTTCCATCCACTCCATCATCCAGCTCGTTAGGGAAGGGCTGGAACAGGCAGAGGCAGCTCAGACCCCTGCGTGTTTCCCTGCGGAGTGGATTTACTGCAGATCCCTGCAAAGCCAGAGGGAAACTCAGGCCAACTTTTCCTGCCTTACAGATGTGTTTTGGCCAATTGAAGAGACCAGTAGAACAATTGTAAAGCATTTCATGAAGAAGTAGGTTCTGACCAGAGCACTGGAAAGCTGGTGCAGGTCTCAGTCACCCCCGGGTTGGACAGGGAGCACAGGGAGTGCCCTGAGCAGCTCAGGGGGCAGGAGGGTTGGGGCAGTCTGAGGGGGCCATGGGGTCCCATGTGGGACCCAAACAGGCACAGCAGCACCAGTGTCACACATGTGGCTCAACCAGGATGAAGTGCTTAAGCCTGGACTTCTCCTAGTACAGACACCATTCCTTCCATTTTTAAAGAAAATACTCCAAGTGTTTTCCACCAGCAGATAAAGAAAACAGGGCAAGGGAAAAGAAGACAGGACAAGAGAGAATGGCTTCCCAATGCCAGAGGGCAGGGATAGATGGGATATTGGGAAGGAATTCCTGTCTGTGAGGGTGGGGAGGCCCTGGCACAGGTTGCCCAGAGAAGCTGTGGCTGCCCCTGGATCCCTGGAAGTGTCCAAGGCCAGGCTGGACGGGGCTTGGAGCAACCTGGGCTGGTGGAAGGTGTCCCTGCCCATGGCAGGGGGTGGGATGGGATGGGCTTTAAGGTCCCTTCCCACCCAGACCATTTTGGGATTCTGGGATTCAATGGAAATAGCTGTGGGGGTGCCATGCAGTGACCCCCTGTGTGCCTGGAACAGGCTGCACCCTGACACTGTGTCCAGTTGCCCAATCCATGCCCAATCCATCTGGGCTCAGTCCTGCATTGCCCACTGCCATCCTTCCCTTCCCACTGGGCTGGGAGAGGCAGGATGCTCCTGCTGTTGGGAATCTGGAAATGAGGCTCTCAAGCCTCTGGGCTGCTGAAATCAACCTGTTTCCTGAATTTTCCAATAGGGACATACAAGCATTTTGCAGTAAGGATATACATGGGACGTTAGGGGGCTGCCTCCAGCCGTGTGAGCTGTTTGCAGGTGTCCAGCGTGGAACTCACTGGGTGGGATGGGAAAGGGAGGAGGGGGTGCTGGTTCTGCCTGGCATCGCCCCATGGCTCTGCCAGCACCCCAGAGCAGGAGCTCTCCCGTGCTTCCAGCCCTTGTTTCCGTGTTGTTGGTTTGGGTTAAAAAGGAATCTCGTTTCCAGTTAATTCAGAGCCGTTCCCAATCACAACAAACCCGAGTAATCTAATCTGCCCCGGCCTCGCCAGAGGCTTTGCCTTGCTGGAAACGGGTTTGTTTAAATCAGCACTGAAGGCTGAACTGGTGACAACTCCGTGCATGTTTGGGAAGTATCGCAGCAGAAGCGGCAGGAGCGGAGGGAGGCACCAGCCCAGGGAGAAGCCGCTGCCTTTGTCCCTTCTCCTTCCCGCTGTCCTGCCAAACCCGGGGGACGCGGGGTGATCACTCTGGGGGGCTCCCGCCCCCAAAATCAGGTACCCGCACGTGCCCGTCGGTGCTGGAGCGGCTCCAGGGCTGGTTGCAGAGCAGGAGTCCTGTCAGGGAGAATTGCTAATTGCTGATTGCTCCTCACCGCGGCGGGACGTTAATGAGCTGTCGCTCCTCCCTGGCGGCTGCCCCGGTGACACCGCCCTGCCCTCTCTCTTTCAGCCGGGGCTGGGGGCTGTGCCTGGATGACCCCCCAGCCCGGGAGGTGCTGGACTTCCCCCTGGTGCCCCCGGGGGTCCTGTACGACGTGGGCCACCAGTGCCGGCTGCAGTACGGCCCCTACTCCACCTTCTGCGACGACATGGATGTAAGCTGGGATCCCCCCGCGGAGCAGGGGCTCCCGGGATCTCTGGGGTGGGGGCTTTGCTGGGGCCACCCTCTCCTTGTGGGTTAAATCTGTGCTGGAGGGCTGGCTGGGCAATAACCGTGTCCTGCACAACCTGTTTCCTGCAGAGCGTCTGCAACACGCTGTGGTGCACGGTGGGGAACACGTGTCATTCCAAGCTGGATGCGGCTGTGGATGGCACAGCCTGTGGGGACAACAAGGTAACGGGGAGCAGACCCCTCTGTGGCCTCAGGGACCCCCTGTCCTGCACACAGAGGAGCTTCACAGGCTCCAGCACAGGGACAGGCTCATCCTGCTGCCCATGCTCTGTCCAAACACCCCCTGCTCCCAGGAGGGGCTGCCTGCAGGGAAGCTTAGAAATCCTTGAGAAGGTGAAGTCAACAGTTAATGACCGTGGCAGGAGAGCACCAGGCTGGTTCTGCTCTCTGTCTGCTGTGGTGGTGCATGCTCATCCCTGGGATCTTCCCCACCTCTGAGCCTCACTGGCTCTTCCCTCTGGGCTGAGATTGGGTTGAGAATTCCTTTAATGAGGGGTCTCAGTGGAGATTTGGGTTTGTTACCTCAGACAAGTCCCAAACAGCCCAGCATCTCTGTATTTCCCATTGTTTGAGGTGCTCCAGGCTCTGGCAGAGCCCAACTGACCCCAGGTACCTCTGTGCAAGCAAAACATGGATTTCCATGGGTCAGCGTGTGTGCTGGGTGTCCCTGCACCCTGCACCGGGCTCTCAGACTCGGCAGCAGTTCCTGCATCCTTAGCCTTGTTCTCTCTGCTGTCCCTCTGCAGTGGTGCTTCAACGGGGAGTGTGTTCCTGTGGGTCACCGGCCCGAGCCCATCGACGGTGGTTGGAGCTCCTGGAGCTCCTGGGCTGCCTGTTCCCGGAGCTGCGGGGCCGGAGTGCAGAGTGCTGAGAGGCACTGCAGCACCCCCACGTGAGTGCACCCCAGCCCATCCCATCCCATCCCATCCCACCCCAGCCCATCCCACACCTGCCATGGGCAGGGACACCTCCCACTAGCCCAGGTTGCTACAGGCCCAGTCCAACCTGGCCTTGGACACTTCCAGGGATCCAGGGGCAGCCACAGCTTCTCTGGGCAACCTGTGCCAGGGCCTGCCCACCCTCACAGCCAGGAATTCCTTCACAACATCCCATCTATCCCTGCCCTCTGGCAGTGAGAAGCCATTCCCTGTGTCCTGTCCCTCCATCCCTTCTCCCAAGTCCCTCTCCAGCTCTCCTGGAGCCCCTTTAGGCCCTGCAAGGGGCTCTCAGCTCTCCCTGGAGCCTCCTCTTCCCCAGGGGAACCCCCCAGCTCTCCCAGCCTGGCTCCAGAGCAGAGGAACCCAACTCCTCCTTATTCCCTGTAAAGCCAGGAGCCATCATCTGTCCAGTGCAGTCCTACCCCGGCTGTGTCACACAGCCAGGCTGTGCCATCGTGCAGTTATTGGGCTGAACGATGAGCTTTCGGACACTCAGGGCATTTATTTCCTGGGGTGACCCCCGGGAGCCTCTGGAGAGGCCGGGTTTGCTCTGGCTCCCTCCCAGGGTCATTCCCGGTCTGTGCAGGCAGGGAGCGGTTGCAGGGACTCAAACAAAGGGCAAAGACTCAGAGATGTAAAACACATCCCAGTGTCCTTTAGTGACAGAACAGCAAACCAGGCATTCTTGGAGCCTGATTCAGAGTTGTTTTGGAAAATCCTGCTGCAGTTTGTCAGCCTGCTGCATTCCATGAGCCAGGGCTGGCTCCCGCCTGGAAGCATCGGGGCAGTGCCAGAGGAGCCTCCTTCTCCATCCCATGATTTCTGGGCTGATCCATCTGCTCCCCAGATGTCCCCTTGGTCACCAAATTGCTGTTGCACAGGATTCAGCCCAATGCCCCGGCTTGCCCAGGAGTTGGAGTGCCCTGGGACGGGGAGGAAAAGGGCTTTGTGAGTGATGATCCAGGGGAATCGCTTTTCCATGGCATGAGGAGCCCTGGCAGCCCCAGGAATGGGGTCCTGATGTGCCCAGACGTGTGTTCTGCCCATCCTCTCCCTGGGGCACGTTTGGCACGTGCTGTGGGGCTGTTGAGGGAAGTGCTGTGTTGTCTCAGACCCAGGTCAAGAGCCAGGTCTGGTTTGACATGAGCTCCGTGGCAGAAGTGCTGTGGTAGTTTATGGAGTGTTCCAAACACAGCTGTGGACAGGCGGGAGAGCAAACACTGGGAAAGCAGCGGAATTTCCCGGGCAGTTGTTTGCTTTGGCCACCGGAGGTAAATCTCCAGCTTTGCCTTTGGGATGGAGTGAGCAAAACGTGTGTGCTGGGCACCCCTCCTCCCACAGACATTCCCTCGGGGCAGGGCATGTAAACACAGCCCCAAAATAATCATTAACTTCATTCTCTTCAGCAAAGTGTGTCCTGGAGAAGGAATTTCCATGAGGTCGTGGGGACATGGGCCATGGAGAGTGGTGTGGCCAAAGGGAAAGGCAGCATGGCAGGAACCTGAGAGAAAATTATTGTGGCTTTTCAAGTCCCTCTTAGTTTAAAAAGACCAGTGGCAGCTTTGCTGTTCCCTTGGGCAGTAGAGGAGCAGAGCTGGAGGGGTATCTTGGGTGGGATGGAGAGCAGCTCCTCCAGAGCAGCTGCAGGACGGGCACCAGGCTGGATGGAGCTTGGAGCAACCTGGGATAGTGGAAGGTGTCCCTGCCCATGGCAGGGGGGTGGAACGAGACAGACTTTGAGGTCCCTTCCAACCCAAACCCTCCCAGGATTCCATGACCCTGAAGTCTCTTTCATCCAGACCCTCCCTGATTTGCCTTCCCCTGCCCTGGACAGGCCGAAGTACGGGGGCCGTTACTGCCTGGGGGAGCGGAAGCGGTTCCGGATTTGCAACGTCAGGCTGTGCCCCCCGGACAAGCCCTCCTTCCGCCAGGTCCAGTGCAGCCAGTTCAACCCCATGCTCTACAAAGGGAAGCTCTACAAGTGGACACCAGTGCCCAACAACAGTGAGTGGAGGGCAGAGACCTCGAACACAGAAACCCTCAAACGCGGTCCCGCGGAGGGTCCGAGCGCTGTTTGTGCCCGAGACTCGCCTGCAGTGTTTGACACCAGTGGGCTCGCGGGGTTGAGGTGTGTTGCCCCCACTGCTGGGGTTCAGTGTGTGCCTGTTGGGTTCCCCAGTTAACCCCTGCGAGCTGCACTGCCGGCCAGAGCACGAGTACTTTGCGGAGAAGCTGCGGGACGCGGTGGTGGACGGGACGCCGTGCTACGAGCGGGACGCCAGCCGGGACATGTGCATCAACGGCATCTGCAAGGTGGGTCCTGTGCTGCTCCTCCGGGAGCCAGCCCAAGGACGGCCCTGCCTGGGAAAACACGTGACCCATCCCTTGGGGAACCAGCGTCCCCTCCCTCCCGTGCTGAGGTGGTTCCCATTGTCGTTCCCCACTTGGAAAGCGTTCCTGATTTCCTTGGGGGGTGTCGTACACACGTGTTCCAGCCTCTGTGCTGCCCCAAGGATATAGAGCACAACCCAGGCCAGGTGGGACAGGGCTTGGAGCAACCTGGTCTAGTGGAAGGTGTCCCTGCCCATGGCAGGGGGGTTGGAACTGGATTGTCTTTAATGTCTCTTGCAACCCAAACCACTCCAGGATTCTGTGAATCCGTTAGAGATGGTGCAGTTGATGCTGCAAATGGTCTGGGAGATCCTGGTGTGGCTGGGGAGGCTTTACCAAGCTGTGCCCTGGGTCCTCCAGCTGCCTTTAGTGGCAGTGAACCGATCCCTTTATCTGTTTGCCTAGGGAAACTGTCCCAGGGTTTGGGATGGAATAAGCACACGTGAAGACGTTGGATTTCTGTTAAATGAGGGAGTGGGTGGTGGTCTGTGGTCTGCAGGGCAGGGTCCCACGTGGGAGGCATTAGAGCTCACGGCCACGTGCCCCTGGGACTCGCAGGGGTGGGAGGGGAGCCGGGGGTGTCCCCAGCCCTGGGGCTGACGGGGGTCCCTTGCAGAACGTGGGCTGTGACTACGAGATCGACTCGCACGCGGTGGAGGATCGGTGTGGGGTCTGCCACGGGGACGGCTCCACCTGCCACACCGTCCACAAGACCTTCGAGGACAGCGAGGGGCTGGGTAAGGGCACAGCACTGTCCCCAAAACACTGAGTGCCTGGTCCATGCAGAGCCAGGCTTGCTGCTGCTGCTGCTGCTCACTCCCAGGGAAGCTTTTAATCCCAGCTTGTCAGGTTTTTTGGGTTAAGACAGCAGGGGATGCAGCTGGGCTCAGTGCAAGGTGGGGTCTGGTGCCCATGGGTGCCTTACAGAGATGTAAGGATTGGCATGATTCTGGCACTCAGTGGACACTGCCCCCACCCAGGAGACAGTAGCACCCACAGAGGGGACACTTTTACCCGCTCAGGGGACACTCATCCACCCAAGGGCACAAATTGTCTCTGCCACATCTCCCCCAAGACCAACACTCGGTTCCATTCCCAGGCTACGTTGATATTGGGATTATCCCTGTGGGAGCCCGGGAGATCCGGATTGAAGAAGTCGCAGAAGCCGGGAATTTCCTGGCGCTGCGGAGCGAGGACCCGGAGAAGTATTTCCTGAATGGTGGCTGGACCATCCAGTGGAACGGGGACTACAGGGTGGCAGGGACCACCTTCACCTACAAGAGGACGGGGAACTGGGAGAATCTCACCTCTCCAGGGCCCACCGTGGAGCCCGTGTGGATCCAGGTACGATGGGATACACGGCAGGGAGGATGGGGGGACAGAGCCCCCGGATCTTCTGCCTTCCTGGGCAGGGCTGAGCTGCCACGGTCTGTCACAGCACCTCCCTGCATCCAGGGGTGGGGCTCTGCATCTCCTGGCTGAGTGTGTTTCTCCGGGAGCCAACACTGGAGCAGCCAAGCACACGCCACCGGCCCGGCGAGCGCTTCCAGCCCACAGCACTTCCAGCTGAGCCTCGTCCCCTTCCCGCCTTCCTCAAAATATTTACACGGGAGAGGGAGCGTGAGGAGAAAGAGCCGTTTCCTGAGGCCCTTCCCATATCTTATCAAGAGCAGGGGAAGAGCCCTTGGTGCTTCTGGCTGGGCTGGTCAGGGGTGAGGGATCTGCCAGTTAACACAAAGCTGTTGGGAGTCAATATCCTTGTGCCCGTGGGGCCAAGCTTTGCTCTGGAGAAGCCAGTGGGAATCGTCCCACAGAGGATGGCACAGCCAGCTCCAGGCTGAAACCCCTCGTGGTGCCAGGTGTGGTGCAGGGGCAGCGATGGCCACGGAGCTGCATCCCATGGACCCCCAGGACCCTCCCCTGCCCGGCGGTCATGGCTCATCCCGACACACTCTCCGGAGCACCAGCCCCTTTGCACAGGCTCTCCTGGAGCTCGGCCTCCCTGAGCAGCCAAAATCTTCTCCTTCCCTAACCCTTCCCTTCCTCAGTGGCTGAGCAGCAGGATCCTGGGCTCGCTGCCTCCAAGAGCTGCTGTTAATGGGAACGCTGGCGCGCTCGGCACCCGAGAATCACTTTCTGGGATTCGTAGCCTAATTAAAGCCTTTGGACAAGAGTGTTTCAATATTCATGGAGAGGTTTTGGAAAGACGCCCTGGCTTCCGCCAAAGCTCCAAGAACAACAAAGCTTTGGCAATAATGGGAGTGCTTAGGCTAAGAAAAACAGGGATAAACTCCTGGCCCTCTCCAGCGTGGGTGCAGGAGGTGCTTTGTCAGGACTTGTGTCAACCGCAGGAGCAGCGGGAGCCTGTTCCCAGCAATTTAGGGAATTCCTCCAGGCAGGGACATCTTCCCTTAGACCAGGTTGCTCCAAGCCCTGTCCAACCTGGCCTTGAACACTTCTGGCCGTGCTGGGCAGGTCGTTCTCCCTGGGGAGCCCCCGGGGTGTGTGTGATGCCACCCCCCCGCCCCCTGCCCTGACCGGCCCCTGTCCCCCCAGCTGCTGTTCCAGGAGACCAACCCCGGGGTGCGGTACCAGTACACGATCCAGCGCCCGGCCGACAGCGAGAACGAGATCGAGCAGCCCGAGTTCCTGTGGCGCTTCGGCTCCTGGACCACCTGCACGGCCACGTGTGGCACCGGTGAGTGCGGACCCCGCGGCACACCCGGCCCCGCCCCGCCGAGTGGCAGCTGGAGCAGGTGGAGCATCCCCAGGGACGCCTTAGGAATTCCCGGGTCTTTGGTTTCAGGGGGTCTTAGGGGGGAAATAAAAGGGCCATCTGCCGAGGTCACGGCTCCGCTGCCCCCGCGGCGCTCACGGGACCCGGCGCTTTATCAGCGCTTTGCTCCCGGCGCGGTGTCCTGTTACCGCCCGGCCTTCCTCGGCGTCGGGAGGGAGACAAAAGACCTTTAGAGAAATCCGGGAGTGTGGAAGGGCTGGTGTCCCGCCTGGCTGGGCCTCTGCGTGGGGGAGCACATCCAGGGTTGTACAGAGAGCGCACGGAAGGTGCCTGCTGTGGCTCCATGTGTCAGACACTCGCTTCCCTCCATCCTGCCCCGCTGCACCACCGGGGTCCCCGGGGCGGCTTTTGGGGCAGCTGATGGAATGGGATGTTCTTGGCACACTGCCAGGGGGAGCAAGCACTTCCTTGAGAGCGGCTGGCACTGGAAGAAAGGGGAATTCAAGGACACTCGTGCTTTCTAGGTAGCACAGAGTGCCAGGAGATGGCTTTTATTTAAAACCAGCTTTGCTTTGCACGATTTGAGTACTTGCCTTCCAGAACAGAAGGGAAATACAGGAGTGAATCTGGCAGGAGTCGGGTGAGGGTAAGCAGCTGGAGGAGGGCTGAGCCTCTCTCCCTGGGCTGGATGATGGAGTGAGCTGAGACATGGATTTGGGAGAGCTCAGGGTGAGCCTCTGGTCAGCCCCAGGGGCCTGTAAGCTCCCAAGTGCTTGAGCCAGAGCCCAGCTCAGCAGCCTCAGCAGGGCTCTGTCAGCCTCAGCTGGTGGCAGCGGGTCGGTGACAGCTCTCCAAGGCACAGGTCAAGTATGTGTTACAAAAACGGGGCCAGAAGCCGGATCGAGGCAGCGTGGTGAGGTCACCCCTAAAAACATCACCCCCGAGTGCTTCGAGGACACAAGGCTTCAGCCAGAGATTTGTCCCAGAGCCGTGGTGGGGCAGGGCTGCCAGCAGAGCTGAGTGCTGCCTGCTGGCTCCCTTCAAACACAGCCCCCAAAATCCCCCGTGCACACAGGCTCCTGTGGCTGGACGGGGCTCTGGGCAGCGCTGCCAGGCCGGTGCAGCACCTCCACAGTCACCCCTCCTGCCCCAGCTGCACTGGTGCCTCGGGGCTCTGCGAGGGCACTGGAACCTCGGCACATTTGGGTCTGCAGCTTCAAGTGGTGGTTTCCTTTCCTTTCTCCTGTTTTGGTGGCTCAGACTTACCAAGGGCCTCTTGTCACCTGCTGGCAGAGGGTGCTGGGTGGTTTGGTGTGGTTTCCAAAGCCGAGCCGGTGCCTGTGTGGGTGGTTTGGTTTCCCAAGCCCCTGCAGAGCCCGTGCCCGTGTCCGTACCCACAGGGGTGCAGCGGCAGGTGGTGCACTGTGTGGAGAAGCTGGCTGGCATCGTGGAGGAGCGGTTCTGCGACGCACTCACCCGCCCCGACGACCAGCAGCGCCCCTGCAGCGAGGAGCCCTGCCCGGCCAGGTCCAACCCTCCCCTTCCCACCCCTCCTCAGCTCATCCTTAGTGTCCAACAGCCCTGGGGGGTGACCAGAGTGGGGGGACCTCGGTCACTGCCGTGCCAGATTGCCCCAGGATGTGTGCAGCTCTTCACACCTCTCCTCTCCCTCATCCACAGGGATGGATCCCAGACCCTGTGCTGGTCCATGAGAGCATCCCTGGGGTTACCTGACAGCTGCAGGGTGTTGCTTGTCCTCAGGCTACGAGCTGCGTAGCAGGTCCCATCCTGGCAGGACGCTCCTCTCTGTGCACAGAACCATCCCTGGCACAACTCGGGGACTGACCCATCCCTGACCCTCCATCCGGGCTCCCTGACCTTGGGCTGACGCACAGGCTGCAGTTGGGATCCTCATTCCCCCACGGCCCCACGGGATGGGCCACAGGATGGAGCCCAGCATGTGGGTGCTGGCTCTGGCTGAGATCTTTCCCTTCCCCTTTCCTTTTTCCTTTCCCCTTTCCTGTCCCCTTTCCCCTCCCTGTCTGTCCCTGTGCAGGTGGTGGGTCGGGGAGTGGCAGCAGTGCTCGGCCTCGTGTGGCAGCTCGGGGCTGATGAAGAGGACAGTGCTGTGCATCCAGAGCGTGGGGCTGGACGAGCAGAGGGCCCTGCAGCCTGCAGCCTGCCAGCACCTCCCCAGGCCCGATGCCACTGCGCCCTGTCCCCGGGACGTGCCCTGTCCCTCCCAGTGGGCTGTGGGGAACTGGTCCGAGGTGAGGAGGAGCGCCGGGGAGGTCCCAGTGTCTGGCAGAGCTGGTGGGAGCTGGGGACAAGGTGCCCCCAGACACCCTCAGCGATGGGTGTGCCTGCTGCTCACAGGGAAAACCCGTGGATGTGTCTGTGTGGGCTCACCAGCTCCCGTGGAGAGGTCTCAGAGTGAGGAAGGAGCAATGGGCTGTTTAACTGTGCCCACCTCTGAGCCTTGCTGCTCCCTCAGGGTGACAGCCACGCTCCCTGGGCAGGGAGGGCAGAAACAAGAGGTTTTCAGCTGGATGGGGCTTGGAGCACTGCTCTGGTGGGAGGCGTCCCTGCCCATGGCAGGGGATGGAACTGGATGATCTTTAAGGTCCCTTCCAGCAGAAACCATTTCATGATGTGATTTATGGTCACACTCTGTATACCCTTGATTTATTTTTGTATTTCTGTGGGTCAGCTTAACCACAAGTTGAGGGTTTCAACCAGAAAATGATAACTCCTAATTTAAGCAACCATTCCAAAAAGTGTTCAGCGTGAAGGCAAATATCAGGAGAGAAAGGAGAGAACCTGGGAACGGGGCTTGTTGCTAAGGAACAACCAGGATCGAATGTGAACAGAGAATTTGAAGGCTAAATGAGAGAGGGAGTTAGAAATATGAGAGAGGGAGTTAGAAATATTTTTCTAGGGGCCCACAAAAGCCAAAATTAAGGGCTGAGAGAGACGGATGCAATGGTTTAACGGGAAAATCATGGCTTGGTGGTGGGTCAGTGCTGGGCAGGGCCAGCCCCAGCCCTCACAGTTGTCCTCTGTGGTGTTGGCATGGACAGATCTGTGAGCTCAGGAGAAAAGTGCTCAGGATTTTGGGATTCTGTCATTTTCCTGTCCTTTAATTTAAAGCAAGAGCTATCTTTTTTTCTCTGTTTCCACCACCACTGTAAGTAGGGGAATGAGAAGGGCTTTGAAGTTTCCCAGAAACGTGGTCCTTCTGGCAGCAGTCCCTAGCAGGGGTTGGGGCTGGTTCTGTCCATGCAGACCCTGGGAATGCATGTGCCTGTCCGGCACCAGAGCACCCAACACCAAAGGGGTTCTCTGGGGTTTGGGTAGCCCAGCAAACTGCTTAAACCAGGACTTAGTGCCTTCAGAAGGACCCTAAAGCAGTGCACATCCAGCTTTACGGACTTTCCAAGGAAGTTGGTGCAGTCAGAAGGATGATTTGTTGTCCATTAGTTCCCAAGGGGGAGCGTCTCTCTCCTGGCAGGAGCATGACCCAGCAGGCTGTGGTGGCTCCTGCTCAAGGCTGAACCCTCCTGTGAGCTCTGTGTGTTCCTCCACGAGGCTCCTACCAGCCCTCATTCCTTATCTGTGTCCCAGAGGCTTCCCTGATAACCCAGCCTTGGCAAATAACCCCCCTGCTTCCCCCCTGCAAGCACTGCCATACCTGGAGTTTATCTCCTGGATGGAGCTGGAGGCCTTTGCTGGGAAATTTTAGCTTTGTGGGAGTTGATCTGTTTTCCCTGGGTTGGCAGTGCCATCCCAGGGGGGGAAGCAGCCTGCTTGCAGCCCTCTCACAGATGTTGGTGTGGGGTAATGTTTTATTCCAGCTGGTGGAAATGCCTGTGGTGGCCACATGGTGTTATCAGAGAATCCTGGAATGGTTTGGGGTGGGAAGGGACCTTAAAGCTCATCTCATGCCAACCCCCTGCCGTAAGCAGGGACACTTTTCACAAGTCCAGGTTGTTCCAAGGCCCAAATGCAGCAGAAAATGCTGCTGATCTTTCCAGCCTCTTGGTTTCTTTTTACTGACCCGTCTGAAAGAGCCCATTATGGTGGGGCCAGGGTGTCCCTCACAAAGCTCCTTACTGACCTTTGCCTTTTCCCTACTCAGACAACACCCACGTTGTTATTCCCTGCTTCAAAAAATGCTTTTCTAGAAGAAGAGATGCAATTCATGGTGATAGGTCATAAGAGAGGCCTATTAGATCATCTTATCCAGTGCCCCTCCCAGTGCCCATCTCCCGGGAAAACTTTCTGGCTGGAGTGCAGGTCAAGGATCACCCTGAGCAAAGTACCCTTCAACACCAGCCCTGCTAGGGACGGTCTCTAACAGGACACAGCCCCAGAATTCAATTTGGGCAGCAGTGGCACCAGTCCTCCCTGCTCCTGACTCCTGGTGCAGGGGACCCCCTGCCACCAGTGGGAATGGCACAGGAGGCACCTGGGGACCCGGGTGGGTGGTGGGAGTGTGGCAGAGCAACGTGGAGCCCCTGTGCCCAAAGCATCGTGGCACATGGGACAACCCTCTCAGAGGGGGGCTCTGGTGAGGGGCACGGGCGCTGCTGCCAACCCCCTCCCCATCCCTGCTCCTCCTGCCGCCCCGCAGCCCCCGTGCCCCCATCCCTGACGTTTCCCTCCCTCTTCCCTCCCCAGTGCTCGGTGACCTGTGGCAATGGGACCCAGCGGCGCCCTGTCCACTGCAGCAACAGCTTGGGGGCCGCGTGTGACCCCGCGCAGAGGCCCCGCCCGGAGGCTCCCTGCTCCCGGCCCCCCTGCCAGCCGGACACTCCCTGCTCCCGGCCCCCGTGCCAGCCGGACACGGACACTGCCAACACAGACTGGTCTGGCAGCGGCTCCTCCAGCAGGGAGATATTCAATGAGATCCATCACGTCCCCAGCAACCACATTGTGAAATTTAACCCCCTCATCCCAAACGTTCCCGAGTCCAACGACGTCAATGTCATCCCTGAGGAGGACTTCCCAGCCGGGAAGGGAAACGTCTTTGTCGATGATTTTTACTATGATTATAATTTTATCAACTTCCACGAGGATCTGTCTTACTATCCCTTCACGGAGAAGGAGACTAAAGGTGAGGAGGCAAAGCCAGAGCTGAGCAACAACGACGTGGAGGGGCCCTGGGAGATGCCCACTGATGTCCTGCTCACCACCAAGCTGGGAGGAGAGAGAGAGCACCATCTGGGCACCAAAGCCTCTGCTCCTGTGGATGAGGGGGAGATGGAGCCTGGGGATTTAGCCAGGAATGACTTCCTGAGCGTGGTCCCAGAGGATGCAGGATCAGCCACTCCCAAATACACCATCCCTGGGTTCCTGGGTGAGGAGGAGGGCCCAGTGCCAGTGCCCCGTTCTGAGGACCACCCACCCACCCAGCACACCACGAGTCACAGCTCTGCCAACAGCCACGGCCACCCGGCCCTGGATGAGCCCCACGGAGCTGTGCTGACAAGGACAGGTCCTGGGCAGGATGCTCCAGCCCATGGCCTCAGTCCCTGGGGTCCCCACCCGGCTGATCCCCCCACTCCACTGCCCACAGCCCGGGGCAGTGCCGGGGGGGAGGTACCCGACATTCCCGGAGTGCCCGGGAGCCGCGAGGGCCCTGCGGGCAGTTTGGGGCCGGGTCACCCCGGCAGGGAGGGGCACGACGGGGCCGGGTCAGCGGGGACAGGCCTCGAGGACTCCAGGGAAACGGGTCTTGTCCTCCCTGGTGACACTACTGGTGACACCACGGAGCAGGACAGGGGGGCAGAAGTGCCAGGATGGGTGGTGGGCACAGAGGCAGTGCCAGCAGATGGTAACGATGAACATCCCCGTGGGACAGAGAGAGCAGATCTTTCCTTCCCCACCCTGCAGGGACCAGGGTGGGAGATGGGATGGAGTGCTGGCAGCACCCATCCTGCCCTGAGTCCCTCTCCCGTGGGTGCTGTCGGGGGTCCCACGGGGCAGGCAGGGCACCAGCCAGAGCTCCACACCCCCACATCCCTGAGCTCAGCCCCCTGGGTGGCCACCACAGCCCTTCCCACAGCAGTGTTCTTGTCCTCCACTGTGCCCGGACCAGCCACCCAGCTCAGCTCCAGCAGCCTTACCCAGCAGGATACCCTGGCACCAGCCATGCCCACAGCCCCAGCTCACAGCCCAGCTGCACACCCAGCGGGAGCATCCCCCTCCCAGGCCCCCTGGGAATGGTGGACCCTGGGGATGTCCCACCCCCCAGAGCCGGCATCTCCCCGTGCTGAACAGACCTCCCACGGGACCCCACTCAGCATCACCGTGCCAGGGGAACCCAGGGCACCCCCAGGGACATTTGCCTTCAGTGACAGGGGGCACAAGTGGTCCCAGCCCTCCCCTGCTCCCCCACCACTCTGGGAGAAGAGGATGGAGGAGGAGGAGGAGGCTTTGCTTCCACCATCGACCACCGTGGCAGCCACTGCCATGGCCAGCTGGGAAGTTGGGAACTGGAGTGAGGTACGTGTTGAGTCCCACTAACATGGAATGGGGTATGGGGGAGGGTTTTCCCTGAGGGCTGCCTGGCGTGGGACTGCTCAGAGAGGAGCAGCCTTCAGGAAAGCTCCTCTTCCCACATCATCCCCCAGCCCAGTTTAACCAGCACCGCTCCCACTGCCCGTGGAGGAGCTGAGTCCACAGGGACCTTTCTGCTGGGCCACCCTGCTCCACCCTCGGCCAGAGGCAGCCCCGGGGGTGGGTGTGGGTGTGGGGTGGCAGAGGAGCAGGTTGCCCTGTGTTGCAGTGCTCGGCCACGTGCGGTGTGGGTGCGATCTGGAGGAGCGTGCGCTGCAGCAGCGGCAGCGACGACGGCTGTGCCTCGGCCGACAGACCCGTCCCTGCCCGGAGGTGCTCCCTCAGACCCTGCTCCTCGTGGCGTGTGGGCAACTGGAGCAAGGTACACGGGGAGGGAGGGTCCCAAACACCCCTCGGGCCAAGGCAGGTGTGGGGTCACCCCTGCTCTCAGGGTGGGCTCTTGCCCCACGGCTCACAAAGGCAGAGGGTGAGGGTTTGCACTTGCCACAGAGTTTAAACTTCTTCATCCCACAATATTTCCATTTTTCCTGCTCTTGGGCCAGGAATTTGCAAAAGCTAAATAAAAGTGGCTTGAAAGGTCAGGTTGGGTGGGCTCCTGGACAGCCTGGCCCTTCCCCAGCGTGATGCTCGTGTCCTTTCCCAGTGCTCCAAGAACTGTGGTGAGGGGACGAAGGTTCGGGATGTTCATTGTGTCGACACCAGGGACCAGCGGCTGCTGCGGCCCTTCCACTGCCAGGCCGTGCTGCACAAACCCCCAGCACAGCTGCCCTGCCACAGCCCGCCCTGCCTGGACTGGTACACGTCCTCCTGGAGAGAGGTAGGGGCTGGGGAGGGGGCTGAGCAAATCCCACCCCCTGCCATGGGCAGGGACACCTTCCACTGGCCCAGGTTGCTCCAAGCCCTGTCCAACCTGGCCTGGAACACTTCCCGAGGACTTTCAGGGATGGGGCAGCCACAGCTTCTCTCGGCAACCTATGCCAGAGCCTCAGCACTCTCACAGAGAAAAATTCCTTCCCAATATCCCATCTAACCCTGGAAGCCATTCCCCCTTGTCCTGTCCCTCCATTCCTTGTCCCCAGTCCCTCTCCAGCTCTCCTGGAGCCCCTTTAGGCCCTGCAAGGGGCTCTCAGCTCTCCCTGGAGCCTTTTATTCTCCAGGTGAACCCCCCCCAGCTCTCCCAGCCTGGCTCCAGAGCAGAGGGGCTCCAGCCCTGGGATCCTGACGGTGCATTCCGTGGTTTGTGTCCCGGCAGTGCTCGGAGTCGTGCGGTGGAGGGGAGCAGGAGCGGCTCGTGACGTGTCCGGAGCTCGGGCGCTGCGAGGAGACGTCGCGGCCCAACACGACCCGGCCCTGCAACACACAGCCCTGCACCACCTGGGTGGTGGGCTCCTGGGGGGAGGTGAGGGGCTCCTGGGGAGGTGAGGGGCTCCTGGGGGGAGGTGAGCGGGCACGGGCTCCCCTCCACGGGATCTGCAAGAAACACAAGGAACGGGATGGGAGAAACCCAGCCCTCCAAACCAACGTGGGGCTGCTGCCACAACCACCTCCCGGGCTCTGGGGTGGCCCTGGGGTGGCCCTGAGTGGCACAGGGAGGGGTCCCCCAGGCTTGACGGGGTCCCTGCTCCCGCAGTGCTCGGCTCCCTGTGGAGGGGGCATCCAGAGGCGCCAGGTCAAGTGCATCAACACCAAGACAGGGGTGGCCGAGGAGGACAGCAGCCTGTGTGACCACGAGCCCTGGCCCGAGAGCACCCAGAAGTGCAACCCCCAGGACTGTGACAGCTCGGAGCCAGGTAAGTGAGCGATGCCAGGGCCTCCTGCCTGTGCTGCCACTGAGTGCTGTGTCCATAGACTGTGCTCCCCAGGAGCTTGTGGAGCTTTTGGGACAAATGCTGAGTTTTGAGGGCATGGTGGTGATCTTGGGGATTGGTGTGGGAACCACCCAGGCTCCCGGTTAAGGACTCTTAAGAACTGTAGGAACACGACCCGTCCTGGGTCCTGTAACCAGGGATGGTTTTTCTAGCCAAGTTTAGCCTCATTCTTTATGTTTCTCCCCACTTCTCACTTCCCATCCCCCCAGGATGGTTCATGGGAGGACACCAGAAGTGGGGACAGAGCAGCTCCACTCCATTCACTTTTCCAGGGCAGGTCATGGCCTGTGCTGTCTTGCTCCTGGGAAGGGACCCCAGGAAGGGACTCCAGGAAGTGCTGTGCAACCAGTGCTGGTGCAGGGTGGGATGGGCTGAGTGCTGGGAGGATCCAGGGGTCCGGGCACAGGGAAGGGTGACGGACACAGGGTGCTCATGGTGCTGCCAGAGAACGGGGGCTGCTGCAGCAAGGAGTGATCAGGGAGGATGGAAAACCAGTCTGAGAAGCAGTGTGGGAACTCAATGGGAAGATGGGAGGGGTGTTTCATACATGGGTTGTGTAAGGCTGGCTTGACTAATCGATAATTAAGTGGGAATGTTATAACCATCTCTACGTGTCTGGAGCATCCGTCTCTCCGGGGCCGAGCGGGGATTTCACTGGCTCAGATGGGGGCTGGGATGTGCTTGTCAGATGCAGAAGTGTCCCCGAGCACTGGGACAACCAGCACCCGCCCCAGGGACCCTGTGGGGTGAAGGGACCTGGTTCAGGGGTAACGTGGCGTTCAGGCAAAGGAAGGCAGAAGGAAATGGCCAGTGATGGAGCTCTCAGAAAGCTGCCTGGTGGTAAAGTCCCAGAACACAGAACTTAGGGAACAAGCTGGGCCAGCATTATCAAATCAGATAAAAGGCCAGTTCTCCAGCCTCTTCAGGTGTGTCTGAGCAGGTGCCTCAGGGTGACAGCCCCATTTCAGCCCACCTTTCATTTCCTTGCCCTGGCTGCAGCCACAGTACACCCCTTCACTCCCAGAGGTGCATCCCCTGGCACCAGGCAGTTCCCTGTGAGCCAGAAACCGGGGGCTGCAAGGGTTAATGGCACTTAAAGGAAAAGCTTTATGAGGAGGGATTGGATGTCATTGGTATGAGCATGTCAATCATTTATCAGCTTTATCTTTTTAATGTGTCTGTGCAAAAAAAAAAGCTCTTTGTCTGCCCAGAAAGTAATGTTAGCCCCTCAGGAGGTCTGTTGGACAAAGAGAGGGCTGAGGGATGGAGCAGGTGGGCAGGAGGGCAGCAGTGCCCGATGCCCAGGGTGCAGGAGCTGGATCCATGGCTGCTCCACACCTCGGGGCAGATCCCCTCTGCAGCCTGGGACACCCATTCCCACCCTTCCAACTGTGTTTATCCCGTGTCCAGCACGTTCCTCCTGACTCCTCTTGCAGAGAGGGCAGGAGTGTTGGCTTTGGTTCAGAGGGATTTGGGGACTGGCACCGCTGGCTATTGGGATGTTTTTAGCCATTAAGCAGCTCCTTTTTGGAGCCTTTGCAGGGCCGTGGGGCTCTCCAGCCTTTAGGAAATGATTAGTCAGCCTCGCTCAAGAAATGATGTGCGGTTCCGGCTATTTTTATAAAGGGAAAATTTCCGTGCCGGGCTTGGTGATGAGAGCCATGGAGCCAAGGCTGGACCAGAATAACCACTGAGATGTGTAGGAAGCACACAAATAAATGTTAAAATCCTGGATCAAAAATGACATAAACGCTCTGGCTGCAGCCCAGGGCAGGAAACGCCTCTTGGAAATACAAACCTTTCCAGCCAAAGCATGAAGGGGGACAAAACTTTCACATGGCAGGAAATCCCAGATGTGTAAATCCACAGGCTCCCAGAAAGGCATGAACGTAACTGCAGCCCTTTCCTGTGTTTTAAGGGATCTTTACTGCACAAGATGGATGCAGGCTGGAGCCATCCATGTTTTCCTTAGGAGCACAAGGAGCCTCTCCCTCCTCTGGCACGAGGTGCTCCAGTACCACAGAGCCATGGCTGGGTCTGTGAGCAGTTGTGTCCTCACTGGACACAGAAATGCCAATAGCCCCAGCAGGGTTTGAATGTTCAAACCATTATCAGATGGATTTTGAGCCGAGATGGAACAAATGAAGCACAAACAAACATCTCACAGCAATCGGCTCCTCAATTAAAGGAGGTCGGGATTAATTAGAACCAGAGTCCTGTGCTTCTGCCAGGTTATAAATTAATTGAAGATTACACCAAGGTTATTTTTGAATGTGCCTGTTGTCTTCCAGCTGCAGCCAGCTGTGAGTGTGTCCTCAGATGGCTCCTGGGGAGCATCAGAGCCCGTGGGCACCCCGATGCCTCCGTGGGATGTCCCAGAGGCTGTGGAGGTTTATCAGGGAATTGTTTACAGCATCTTGGAAAGGAGCTGAGCCCCAGGCTCAGCTGGAGAAACCAGCACCAGTTTATGCAGCAGATCAAATAGTTTTAACCCAGAAAAGCAGGAATTGCTGTCTGTGGGAGAGGAAGCCAAGGGGTGGACGGAGCTGGTCACTCTGCTGGTGTGGGGTGGTGGCCGTGCCAGGACAGTGGCTTTTGGGCAGACCCTGGTGATGGTGACACAGCCCTGCTTGGCACAGAGCACAGGCAGCCCCTGGGGGGTTCATTGGGGTCATGCCATAAAATTCATCATTTCCCTTGTGCCCATTCCCTGGATCCAGTACTGGGGGCAGTCTGTGAGCTCCCCAAATTCTCTCCAAGCAGGTGTCAGGCAGGTGATGGGGCCAGGTCTTGGCTCTACTGTCCCACAGGTGTCTCAGCTTGGAATACCAAAGGGATGAGGTAAAGCCTTCAGCTGGCTCAAGGACAAGTGTGTGTGAACTGGTGCAGTTGCTGTGGGAAGGGGACAGAGCAGTGGGTGGAGCTCAGCCCTGTGTCCCTGGACAGCCAGCACAGGATCGTGTGGGGTGAGGGGACACCGGGCCCCTGACCTGGGGCTGGCTGTGCTTCTGGTTGCCTCAAGATTAATTGGCAATTAAACGTTGTGTTCCTGCTTGCTCTGAGTAAGGAAATGGAATTGTTCATGGTTCTGCATGTCGCTGAGTTTGTCCACAAGGGATCCATAAGGGAAATAATTGCAGCAAATTCCAATTTTCTCTGTCGTTTGAGCGTGGAAGTCCCTATCCCAGGGGCAAGGCAGGGAGGTGCTGCTGAGTGAGGCATTGAGGGCAATTAATTAACTGCTAATTAACAACTGGAGTCAGTGGGAAAGGGATGCTTGAGAAAGGACTCCCTGTTTTGATGAAATGTGGGAGAAAGATGTTGCCCACAGCAGGGCTGACACCTGAGAACTGGGGGGGCTGTGGTTTTCTCCCAGTTTGGCCGTGTCAGTGCCAGTCTGTGCAGGCAAAGCTGGCACTGGGGGTGCATCCCATGCATCCCATCATGCTGACCAGGGACCACAGGGGAGGGCACCATGGCCCTGGAGCAGGACCTTGGGATACTGTTTGTTAAATTCGGCCCTGGCTTTGAGAGCATCCCGAAGGCCAGAGGTCAGCAGCCTAATTCCCTGGATTTGCTAGCTCAGCTCGAAGCTCAACCTTTCCTTGTTTTTACAAAACCTGTTCCAGGAAGTTTATTTTTCCCGAGAATAGAAGTAAAGGCTTAGGTCTGGGTGGCAGAAGCTTAAATGAAATTTAAAGCAAACTTCCAAGCTGACCTTAAAAAAACAACCCCCAAAAAAGTGGGGTTTTTCACTCTCTAATGTGCTGACTTAGCCTGGATTTTTAAAGCCCCTCTTTAAGCTATTTCTTTAGCTTAAAATTTGGCATAGACTTATGGTACGAGTGTCCAAATGAAGTGTGAGGATTATATAAAACAATTGTTAATAGAAAAAAATAACAGTAAAAGGATTAAATGGAAATGGAAATCAGGCCCTCTCTGAAGAGCTGACAAATCAAGTGCTTAGTACAGCTTCCCTTGCCCAAGACCAAATTCCAGGGAGGAATCACGAGCCCAGCCAAGATTGTCAGACCTGAGCCTGACCCCACACACATCCACCCTGAGACGCTGCCTCGGCCCCGAGCACGGGGCTGGGAAAGCGATGAGAACTCGGCAGCTCAGAGACTCCCACTGGCCTCACTGAGCTCTGGGAGCGTTTGGACAACGCTCCCAGCACAGGGTGGGATTGTTGGGGTCTCTTGGGCAGGGCCAGGAGTTGCACTCGATGATCCCTGTGGGTCCCTTCCCATTCAGGTGTTTTGTGATTCCATGAGTTCGTTTTGCTTCGGACCCAGAGTCCCGCAGGGGTCTCCTGTGAGGTCAGCAGAGCCTCCAGCCAAGGGAGGTGGCTCTTCCCCACCCTCTCCAAGCCCATCCCGGCTGTTTCCACAGTAACCTCATTCCTGTGCTGATAAGGTGGTGCACACAGAGCAGTGACTGCAGGCAGGATGGGCTCCTTCTGCCCGGGCAGCGCAGGGACGGGAATTTCCTGCCCGTGCCCGGGGTGCTGCCCTGCCAGACAGGGATCAGGACAGGGCTGAACCCTCACTCCAGTCCTGGAAAGCGACCTCCCAGCACGAGCCCCAGCAGCCTGCAGGGCTCTTTCAAGGGAAGGCAGGAGGCAGCTTGGTTGGGATCCATAAATAACTTCCTAGGAAGCTGCGATAAGTGGAGTGAGCAGGAGAGAGGGCTAAAAATACCGAGGGGCTCCTGGGGGTCTGCCTGGCCTGGGCACCCCCTGAGCAGGGATGGGGACATCCCCACCCATCCGTGGGGTGTTTTCAGCCGAGTCCTCCTCGCCCTGGGGCTTTGCTGCAGCTACACCCGAGCACACCAGCAGTGTGTGCACATGGGGATACATGTATTGCTGTGCTGCCATGTCCCAGTGCAAAAGGGCCCTGGGGGTTCAGGGAATGCCAGGTGGAGCCATAAGGTTGCTCCCAGGGAATATTATCCCTGAGACCCTGAGGGATCATCGCATGAGCAAATGTTTCCCTTTTCCCTCCGGCTCTGGTGCTCTCATGGCAGGTTTGGGATGTGCTCCTGGCCTGGCCCTTGCTGGGCTGTACAGAGATTTTTTATCCACTCTGCTCAACCAGCAGGAAAAATCCACATTGTCCCAGCCCCCGGGGGTTGGAGCGAGCCCCCAGGCCGGGGGGCTGATGTGAAGCCGGGATCCACTCGGTCCTTCTCCGTTGGCAGCCGTTGGATCCAGCAGCGTGGGGGATCCATGGCTTTGGGGGGCACAGAGAGCTGCAGCTCGGGAGGAGGAGAGGAAATACCTCAGCTGAAATAGAAAATTAATTTTAGAGTGACCTCCTCACTGCTGGGCTGGGGGAGGGGGCTGTGGCTGAAATCCCAAATGGGGGGAGAAGTCTCTGCTCTGCATCTGCCGCCGGGGTCGGCTCATCCCGTGGGAATCGGGGCAGCAACCTTTCCCTCGGCACAGCCTTTGTTCCCAGAGGGGACATGGCGAGGGGCAGTGGTCAGTGAGACCTCCCCTGGCTCGGTCCTCGTGTTGCCTGAGCAGAGAAGTGTCCTGAGAAAGAGAAAAACCCATTTCCTGCCCCACTTCTGCCCCTGCTCAGTGTGGTCCTGGTGGAGGTGCCCGGGGAGGGGCAGTGTGAGGGGACCAGGGGGTGCCAGCCCAGGGGAGCATCAGCTCTGCCCTTTTCCAGAGAAAAGCTGTCATTTATTTACGTTATTTGTACAGGAGGCAAAATCAGACAGAGCTGATGTAATTCAAGCGAGTCTTGCCCAACCGGGTGAGATGCTGCTTGTGTGGAGATACAGCAGAAAAGGAGGAAATTAAAAATGAAACCAGCTGTATACCCATAGGAACAATTTGTGTTTGGTGATGGGTCTCTGCTGCTGTGGCTCAGTTGAGGTGCAGCCTAGCTGAGCCTGGTGGTGGAGCTGGGAGCTGCTGATGGTGCAGGAGAGGGCTGTCCCCTGTTTGCCACATTCCCACACCATCCCATGGGATGTATGCCCTGTGCTGTCCCATGGGGTGCACATGGAGGCAGGTGGGAGGGTGTTTCAGGGTGCTGGGATGTTCCACCCTCTCACACCCCAAGGACAAGGTCTCTTTGGGGCAGCACTCGAGTCTCCCTCACTGTGAACTCAACCCCCCTGACCTGGCACTCCTGGTCCTGGACTGGGATCTGTGATTTCCAGACTGTTTGCAGAGAGGAAACAGCTCCTGCAAAGTTTGCTCAGCCCGTGGGTGACTCAGGGAGGTGGCTGGGCTGTGGCTGTGGGTGACTCAGGGGCTGTGGCCACCACGGCTGCTGCTGCAGCTGCCCGGGCACTGCCCCCCAGCAGTGATTCCCAAAACAAAGCCTGTCCTTGGAGCAGCACCAGAGTTGTTTTGGGGTCTGCAGGACACCTGCAGGAAGCGAACCAGATGATGCAGGTTCTCGAAATAACCCAAACAATGCCCAGAAAAAAGGAATTCTGGCCTTTCTGCTGCTCTGCCAGCACTGGGGGGGTCTGGGGAGGAGGAGTCAGTTTGTCCCCCTGCACCTCAGCCCCACTCCCTGGCAATGATGCTGCCCTGGGAGGATGCCATGGAGCTGCAGGGAGCAGCCCAGGTGTTGTTGATGCTGGGAATGAGGAATACCGAGGTGCAGGTGGGCTCCGCGTTTGGGGAGCTCTGTCTGTGCCTGTGCCAGCTCCCACAGAATCCTCCAGTGGGTTGGGTTGGAAGGGACCTTAAAGACCATCTCGTTCCGACTCTTGCCACGTGCTGGGAGATTTTTCACGTCGGCAGTGATGTGACACCGGCACTGACACTGCCCTTGTCCCCTCCCTCCCCTCCAGGTGTCCCCTGCGAGCGCGACCGCCTGACCTTCGGCTTCTGCCAGACCCTGCGGCTGCTGGGCCGGTGCCCCCTGCCCACGGTGCGTCTGCAGTGCTGCCGGAGCTGCCGCCGGCCCGGCCGGGACCGCGGGGACGAGCGGCTGTCCAGGAGGTGACAGGAGCGGTGCCAGGGGGCTCCCGGGCACAGCCGGGACCGGCGGCTCCGCCTCGTCCCGGGACAGCCCCGGTGTCTTCAGTCGTGCCACTCTGTGACGGTGCTCAAACCATCGGCTGGGCTGGGCTGGGCTGGGCTGGGGCCGGGTCACTGCCCTGGGCGCCCAGCGGGGGAGCATTTTGGGGAAGGGAACCAACGCAGCAGTAATTCGGGGGACACCTCCCAGAAATGCTTATGGTGCTATCATTTGACCTTTTCAGCCTCTTGAAGGTGTTGGCTGGCCAGCACAAACCTTGACTTTTTTTACTGTTTTTGTATCTCTGAAGCGAGCATCCAGCACTCCACCGGCTCCGCCCACCCTCTGGGGTAGGGACTCTTTTCTTCCTTAAGGGACTTGAAGCTGGCAACCCATTCCTGTAATTTTCATTAAAATGTTTACTGAAGCTAAATACATTTAATGTAAGAAATGGAAACAGGGCAGAGGAGTCGAGTTTTGGCTTCAGTCAGGGCTGTGCTGGGCTCCACACCCTGTGTCCCCACCGCTGGCTTTCTCTGCCAGAGCCACTGCCTGGGTCTCTCTGGAGCAGAGGGGATCATCAGGGACACCAAGGTTTGGAGTCCAGCAGCACATTCCCTTGCGTGTCTTTGGGAAGGAGAGGGAAGCTGCTCTGGCCATGGTGGTGAGCAGCACATCCCCTCCCTCATGGGCAGCCAAGTGCTAACCCCTGGATTTTTGTATGTGTAGCAGCGTAATGGTTGTTTAAGGTGTTTTTCTGTGTTCTTACAAGCTAACCCCCTTTTTTCCTGCTTATCTAGAGTCCCCTCTGTTAAGGTTAGCTGACTTTTAACTAGAATATCCAGTATTGTATGAGGCACAGCTCCTTTCCCGGAGCAGCGTGTGGGAATCCCTCCCTGTCTTGGGAAGGGTTTGCTGGTAGGTCGGTCCCTGGAGAAGGGCAGGAGCATTCAGGTAGGAATTCCTTTCCCTATTACTCTTCAGGCTGTGGAGGATGCCCAAAAACTGGGGGATCAGGAGGGTAACCCTCCTGGCACTGAGCAGGGCCAGGCCAGAGCCCATCCCGGGTCACAGCTCCAGGTGTGTTTAATCACCTGTCTGGAGCAACACTCGGTCCCTAAATGGAAATTCCTGTGTGTGATCTGTATGTAAAACACACCCATGACTTCACCATCTGTTTTATTCCTTTCCAACATGGTGTAAATTTTTTATGTTCCAAGAGCCTGTGTTCAGTCCTGGTTTCCTTCTCCCTGGCTCCCTCCGTCCCCTCCCAGCTTTGCTGAGGGACAACCCCTGTGCTGGGGTCTCATGGCCACAGCTCACCAGTGTGGTAAATTAAACAGTTACTGAAGGAAACAAGTGGGTTTCACAGTTTCTCTTTCCCTCAGGGAATTTTGAGGGGGTTTTCAGTTGATTGGGGTGATTGAGGCCCTGGCAGCAGGAAGGGGGATTGGTTTGCATCTGAAAATCATTTCCAGCGGCCCTCTGCAACTGGGATTTGTTGATTAAAATGTGAGCTGGGTCGATGGGGTGAATCAGTTCTGCAAATCAGTTCATTTCAGGGGTACCAGCCAGGTGAGCCCCTCCTGCAGTGCCTGTCCCTGTGCAGGGTCCCATCCACAGCCGGGATGAGGGCACGGGATAATCCCTCCTGTGAGAGACTCAGCCAAGCCACTGCACCAGTCCATGGCAGAGCCCAGTGCCCACCAGCACCTCGTGTCCCTGTGCTCCTGGCAAGGCTGTGTCTCTTTGGCACAGGGAACTGCAGCAGCCAGGGGGAACCTATTCCTTTCAACCAGAAACCTTTCCTTTTCAACCCCAAATCCTTTCCGTTTCAACCCCAAATCCTGTGTGTCTCCAGAAGGGCCGACCCCGCCGGGCTGGGAGCCCTGGGGTTTGCAGAGTGGTGACCCCAGCCCTGCTGTGACCTCCAGCTGTCACAACACAGCCCTGGGCCGGGTGTCCCTCTGGGAAGGGCTGAGCCCTTTCCCAAGCACTTGGACCGGGAGCAGCAGGATTGGATTTAATGCACAGCACCCTGAACCTGACAGTGGCCAACATATGGAGGTGTCAGGTGGGCACTGAGGCTTGGAGGAGGCTGGATCATAGTGTGGGAGTCTGTTGGAAGGGCATTTTGTCTGGTTTGTAGCCACATAACAAGCCAGGCCTCCCACCAGCACAGAAACTGCATTATCAGTGAGGATAACACACATCTTGCTTCATTTTCTTTCCATGAGACACTTACAGGGAGTCTCTCTGGAGAGAGACTCTTTACAAGGGCCTGGAGTGACAGGACAAGGGGGAATGGCTTCCCACTGACAGAGGGAAGGGTTAGATGGGGTATAGAAATGCCTTTTTTCTTCTTTTAAAGATGCTTTTATTGTTTCAACACGAGCAGGATGTTATTCAGACACAGCTGCTGCAGTGGGGGGAAAGGAAGGAGGAAAGGGCTTATGGATCAAAAGATGTTTGAAATAGGGTCATGGAATGGTTTGGGTTGGAGGGACCTTAAGGATGATCTTGTTCCACCCCCTGCCATGGGCAGGGATGCCTCCCACTATCCCAGGTTGCTCCAAGCCCCTTCCAGCCTGGCCTTGGACACTTCCAGGGATCCAGGGGCAGTCACAGCTCCTCTGGGCAACCTGTGCCAGGGCCTCCCCACTCTCACAGCCAGGAATTCCTTCCCAATATCCCATCTAACCCTGCCCTCTGGCACTGGGAAGCCATTCCCCCTTGTCCTGTCACTCCATTCCCTCCCAAACTGTTCCATGATTCCATGATCTCCTGAAAACCTCTCTGAGAGGAGTCAGAGGCTTTTGGCTTCAGATCAGAAATCAGACCTTTGTGCCTGCCTTGGTCACCTCCAGACATTTCCATCCTGGAGACAGGAAGGAAGGGAGCTCACTACTTGGGAAGCAGGAGGCACTTATGGAGGAGCTTGTTTGTGTCTGGGATTCACGGGAACACTCAAAGCGCTTCCGCGGCTCCGGGGGCAGTCGGGTCTCCCTGCAGAGCACCTGTGGTTTGCAGCTCTCAGACCTCACCAAGTGCTTCTGTCTGGCCCAGATGGTCTCAGCTGGAGGATTTGAATTCCCAGAGAGCCAGAGGGGTCATCAGTCCTTCATCAGCTGCAAGGACGAGGGAGGGACCCTGGTCCTGCCTGTGACCTGAGCACGTGGGGAGGCAGCGAGGCCAGTGGGACCAGGAACAGCTCCCAGCTCCCATCTGTGCTCTGTAACAGGGAATAGGTAGGAATAAGAGATGGGTTTGTGTTCTCCTGGTCTTAAAACCTCCTTGTGCTACACACAAAGGCTTCACAGGCACAGCCCCGAGGGTCAGCAAAGCCAGGACGGCAAGGAGAGGAGCTGAAGAATTTTGCTGGTTTATCTGGTTTTTGGCTTTTAATCAGCAGCTGCTCTGGGTGGGAACAGCCTCCATCCAACCCCTTTGGGGTGCTGATCCCAGCCAGTGCTCCAGCAGGTCACAGCCACCTCAGGACTGCCCATTGCAGAGGGACATTCCCAGTGGGAAGTAAAGCAGCAGAAAACAGGCGGAGGGAAATGAGCTGCCTCGTTCCTCAGCTGGTACCAAGGCACGGCCTGTTTGCTCACCCGGAGCAACCGTTTCTGTTGGGAAGGGAAATAAAACTGTTTCACATGTGCTGAAGGAGGGGAGGGACCCTCAGAGGGGAGGGAGGACCCACAGCCCCCACTCCCCCAGCCCCAGACCTGCATCTGCACTTGAGGGAAGGCTCAGCAGGCTGGTGTAAATATTTAGAAGTATCTATGGGCTAAAAATAGCTCTGTGTCTACATGCAACAGCTCCATTGCCATCTCTGGTGAGTAACAGTTACTCCCCCGTGTAAAGTGTTTGCAGAGGAGCCCCAGGAGCCCCTCACACAGCCCTGCTGTGGGTGAGACCCCCAGGTGTAGGATTCAGCCCCTCCACCTCTGGGTTTGCTCCTCCTTTGCTGGGACTCAGCCTGGGGATCTGGGGTTGGAAACGGGATTTTAAACCTTCTATTCCAGAGGCTGCTGTGAATCCCTTTGCATGGCAGGGGAGCCCAGTGAAGGGGCAAAAGGACGATACTGCTCTTCCTGGGAGGATTGGAGGGGGGAATGGTCTGTCTTCGTGGTTGTGCTGAGGTTTGAGGCAAGGCAGGAGCTAAGCCTGGGCTTGGGACGCTCCCCCCTTTGCAGGGTGCTGTGGTGGGGATGGAGGTGCCCACCAGTGTCTGCCCTGACTGAATCCTCACAGCTCCACGGGCTGGGGGCTTTCCTGGGTCTCTGCTTCCTCCCACATCCCTGCAGGCACTTCCCGGGTTCCCTCTGGAGAGCTGAAACCCCAGATGCCCACACTCCTGCTGTGGTACCCGGTCCCCCTGTGATGGGCATGAGTGGAGAGAGCCGAGTCCTTCCAAGCCAGGACATTTGGGATTCCGGGAGCCCGGGCAGGGCCGTGCTGCTCCTCTCCCAGCTCTGCTGCGGTTCGCTGGTGCCCTCTGCAGTTGTTCGTCCCCGCTGGAAATGCAAAACGAACAGTCTGAAGGGACCATCGTGTTGTTGGTGACACGAGTGAGGATGGGGGACACGTGTGTGTCTTCCCGGGTTTGGAGGGACACCCCGAGCTCCTCAGACCCCTCAAATCCTGCCCGACGGGCCCCTCCTGGAGCTGTTCCCGGCTCAGGGCTCCTGGATGTTTCTCTGTCGCCCACGTCATGGTGTCCCCCCCCCCGGTGTCCCCAAACCCCTGTGGCAGCAAAGCCTCTGCCCACCCCTGTCTGTGGGGCAGCAACGGGGACGGAGAAAGATCCCAACCCCAGTTTTAATGGAAATGCTGGGAAGTGCAGCAGCTCCTGGGGAGTCACCCCCCAGCAGTGACCCATTCCCTGAGGAACTGGGAATATTCCTGGGTTTAGACACCTGCTTTTGGGGTCAGATCCATTTTCCCAAATTGCTGGAATTCCCAGGCTCTGAAGGACATTTGACCTCTGTGCTCCAGCACAAAGCCCTTGGAACTAACGATCCCAAGGCACTGCAGAATCAAGGAAAAGCCTCTTATGGTCATCAGAACATCCTATTCCCAGTCCCTCAAGCCTTTGCCTGAGCTGGGAATGCCATTTTGGTGGTGCAGGGAGAGCTGTGCACAGGCACCAGGCACCTCATGTAAGAAGAGGAGCTGCATATCTCGTGGTCACAGGACCCACAGACCCTCCTTGCTGCCCAGATACCAGCATTTCTGAGGAGAAAAGATCAACCCCCGTGCTGGACAGAAGAGAAGAAAGCAAATTCCAGGAAAGCAGCCAACAGATAACGCAGCTCCTGCTCCCCAGAGCATCGACCTCCCTGCAGGAGTTGACCTGCCTGGAGCCCTCCCCGGCAGGGGGGGTGGGTGCAGGACACATGTCCCCACTGTCCTGGCACAGGGATGCACATCTGTCCCTCCCCTCTGCACTCAGAAAGCTGGGACAAGCTGCCAGGGCAGGGAAATTCCCTGTCCAGATATCCCTGGGCAGGAAAATTCCCTGTGCAGGGATTCTTTGGGAGAGAAAAGTGGAAGGACCTGCCTTAGATCTACTAAATTAAAAAACAGGTTTGCTTTCCCTGGGTCGCTTTGTTTTCCACCAGGGTGATGGGTCTTGGTCTGACAGAGCCCTTCCCTGGCACTGTCACAGGTGTGACAGGGACCATTCCTGCCTGAATCCGCTCCTGCTCTTTGGGGTTTTCACTCCTGGTCCAAATTAACTACTTAAAATGTTCCCTAAAGCCTGGGTTGGAATAACTCTTTGCTTTACCCTCTGCCAGCCCCAGGAGCTCTTGCTCGGGCCAGGCTGTTCCTGGGACCCCCAGGCAGGTGCCTGGGACGTTTGTGCCCTCGGGAACACGGACCCAGTGAAATCCTGTGGGCACACAGCAAAGCTGGTCCCAAAAATGGCATTATATCCCTGAAATGAGGGTTTGCCACATGTGCTGGCCTGGTTGGACCTCAGCTGTTCAGTATTTCCAGAAAATTGCATCTTTTGATCATCAAAACAACCCGGAAAACCCCGTTTTAGTTGTTTTAGTAATTTAAACCAGACCTGGGCTTCTCAAGGAGCTCAATTCAGCAACGAGGACACAAAGGGGTTTGAAATTTAGCTAAAATTTAATTGAAGCTGAGTAATTGAAGTTAGAAAAGCAATTTTCCACATGTGCTGGAACTGAGGGTTCTGCAACTGGGCAGAAACTTATGGAAAAGGGGGATTGTTCTGTCCCCCACCCTTTGCCCCCTTTTTAATTTTCTTTTTCAGGGTAATTTGGGCCTGGGATAGGGCAGGGGAGGAGCCCTTGCTGGCACAGCTGTGCCTGGGGCAGTTCACTGCTTTACAAAGGGAAGCATCCCCCTGTTCATAATGCTGGAGTCCATTCCATCATTCCATGCCTCCAGGAAAGCTTTATGGAGATTATTAAAATGGTTACAAATCCCTGAAATCAAACCAGATGTTTGCACTGAGCTCCAAGGACTTCTCACCGTTGAACCCAACACAAAGCACCGGAGGACTCAGTTCCTGGGAGGAGCAGCTCCCAGAATCCCTCGTGAGCCACTGCAGCACATCCTGGACATCAGTGCCCCTGGAGAAGGGCAGCTGGGAGGGGAATGTCTGCCTCATTCCCCAGGGAAAGGTAAATCCAGGGGCAGATCCACAGCTGCAGTGGAAACAAATCCTGAGGAACTTCTCCAGGGGGGAACATGTGGCAGCTGGAAATGTTATGGATGCTCCAGGTAAGATTAGTGAGGGAGCAGCAACAAGGAACAGGGCAGTGGGGAGCAGAGGAATGAAGGGCTGTGGGAGTGTCTCACCTTCCACACTGCAGGTAAGCCATCAGAAAAAGCAGGATCAGACTGACAAGATGTTGGCCACAGGGAAATTTTACCCTCGGGGTGTTTATAAAGCAAAGCCTCCAGAATTAGAAATGTACTTAACAGGGGAAAAAAAAGCACAAATATTTAGCAGCAATAGTGTCCCAGTGAAAATCTCCCTGTTCTAGTCCAGTCTCTTGGCTGAAAATTATTTTTCTGAATTAATTTCAGCTTTAATGTGTTTGTTGAAATGAAGTTGAATAAAATGAAGAAGGGAATCTTTCCTTCTCTCTAACAGAAATCTAAACTTAAGCTTAAAGAAAAAAACAATTCAGAACCCAGAAAGCAGCATTTCATTACAAGAATCTGTTTTATTTTTTACAGTGCAGTGACTGAAACAATGTAGAAATTTAACTTGCAAAACTGTATTTATATCACAATGTCTCTCAGAAGGCAATGAGGACGTGTTGCTTTTAATCACAAAATATTCCTCTGGACACCAGAAATTCCAAGCTCTCGGCACTATACCCTTCATTTAGAGACCGATTCCTCATAATTTAAATCTATCTTATAAACAATTTGTTTTTAAAAAACACGTGGAAGGTATAAAGAACTCAAGTATTGAACTCAAGGCCTTGATTATTATCCTTTTTTCTGCAGGCAGAGCTGCTGTGAGGAGCTGCCCAGGCTCCTACTCGGGCTCAGTGACACACTGCTCCACGATCTCCCGCAGCGTCGGGTTCTCCATCGCCGCCGCCACGCGCTCCTTGTCGTTGATCTGCTTGTTGACTGCAAAACAGCCCACAAAGGGCAACTCAGGAGGCTCCAGGGGCAGGGGACAGGGGGGACGAGGGGGCTCGGGAGCAGCCAAAGGCAGAGGGTTAAGAGGGAAAGGGGAACGAGGCAAACGAAAGCTCAGTCGTGACCCACCATCAGAAATCGGTCGTTTCTGATGCTTCTCTGGCTTAGGAACAGAATTTAAGATGCCCCAATGACATGTCTTAAAATTAAGTGTGAAACTCGTGACTAATCAGGAGTTGGAGTTCTCCAGGTTCAATTATTTCACCAAAATAACCCATTTTTGCCAAAGACACCCAGTGCTCAAGGCTGGGACACTCCTGGCAGGGGCTCCAGCAGCTGCTCAGGGCAGGGCCTGGCTCTGGCTCTGACAATGCCCCTGCCCTCGAGTTTCACTGTAAGCACTGAGAAACACATATTTTTGTTATGGATATTTCAGGACAGCAAGATCAACCAGTGGGTTCTTCATGTTAATTATTCAGCAGCAACTTCTTTTGTCACAGACACAACACCTGCAAGAACCGCACTGAAAAACCACACCAGCAGCAAGCACGTGGTCACAGAGCCAGCACAGCTTTGGAAAGAGCCTCAAGGGCAGGTTTGATTTTAAAGCTTTCACAGGGTATTAATTCCTGGGAAGGACAGGAAGGCAGGGGAGGGAAGGACTCAACCAGCACAAACAGGCTGCAGCAGCTCATTCCCAAGCTCTACTCACTGTCCTCTTCGGTGGAATGTGTGCCCTCAGATATATAGATTTCCAGCTGCAGGAGAGATCAGCAACGTTAGAAGAGTTAAACACCTGAATATATTCAGTGCTGGAAGAAAAACATCGTCCAGTGCAGATACAATGCATGTTATTCCTATTGAGAAACAGGGGATCCATGGAAAGAGCTGATCCTGGACTTCATTGCAACACAACCACAACACAGCCTCCCTGGGAGACACTCCTGACAAGCTTTGCTCAGTGATGACAACCCCAGAGACTCTGTTTGAACTTGGCTGTGTAACACAGTCTGTTCCTGCATGGAACAGATTATGGGACTGGAATCTAAACAGACCTAAACCACCTCCAACATTTACCAGGCCTGGGACAAAAAACAAAACCCCCTGACAGAGGCTGGAGGGCAGGCAGATCTCCTGAAAGGGATGTACCCAAAGGAACCAAGGAAACAAGCCCTGGGCCTTTAACTGCTCTCTCTGAAGCTGAGCCCGGTTGGCACCACAAAAAACATCATCTACCTCATCTTCTACAAGTCTCACTCTACACTGCTCAACTGGAAAGACGAAGGCAGCAACTATAAAAACCAAACAACCACCAGAAATCACCAGCAGAAGCCCTCAGGTAATTAATTTATACTGTCAGTTATTTCAGGCAAGTCTCTAAAGGTCTGTAAATCACTGTCTGTCAGTAAAGGTCTGCTCTGTTCCTGCTCAGACCCAAACAGATTTCTCCAGGGATATATTACAGTCCCTCACACTCCCCAGCCAGGGCTGGCCCCTGTCAGGGACAGTTTTAGGGGGCAGGGACAGCACATGGACAGGATCAGGCCATGTGCCATCCACACATCAGCTCCCAAGACATGGATCATAAAGATTCCCTCAGAGCAGTTCCAGTGTTTTAATCCTGCAGTTTTCCTGTGCTCTTCCAAACCTGTTCCCAAGGTTTCACTGCCAAGCTGATGCCCAGCCCTGCTCCACCAGCTCCTGGCTGACAACAGAGCAGGGCATTCCCTGCCTTGCAGGCTCTGTTTCAGAGCTTGTCTCTCATTCATGTAGCCCAAAACAGGTTTCAAAGCAGGTACTTTACCTTGTGTCTAAAAGGCAAACATCTCTGAAGTTTTATTCTTAAACAAAGGCCTGTTAAAACAAAAGAGAGATTTCCTTGTAAAATTCCAGGCTGAGGTGCATTTTCAGAGAATCCATATGTAACAACCAGTATAACTGACAACCTCCTTTTGTGTTCTGAGCAGCACAAGCCACAGAAGGACTAAAGAATTTGTGGTTTGACTCCTTGGGTGCAGCTTTTCAGGTAAGTTCACACCTGCCTTACAAGCTTTCAGGTCTCTGGTCTCTAATCACCTCCTAGAAACACTAAACAGAGACAAATTCCTCCCTTTCCAACTTGCTTTGGTATTTATATATATTTATTTATATTGGTATTTATATTTGGTATTTATATATATAATATAATATATATAAATAATATAATATATTTAGCTATATATATTTATATAGAGCTTCCCAGCTATCCCTGAGGCTGCACCTGTACTGAGGGGAATGCTTGGTTTGTTTTTAATAGTTGGTTAAAAAAAATAATATAAATTATTTGGGCATAAGTACATCAGTTTCCTCATTAAACTGAAGACTCGATTTCCCTTAAATCTTTAGAATACACCGAGAAACCTTAGTTCTGATATTTAGTGGTGAGACTTTCTAACCTTGGCACATTCAAACAAATCACATCAGAGCTCTCAGACGGGATTTTTCAGATGAAATCTCACCACAAACCATAAGGGAAAAATAAAAAGACAAGACAGGCCAGTGTAAATTCTCACTCAACATAATTCCCTTCCAACTCCTGATGGTTCGGGACTTTTTTTGGGATTCCTGGATTGCATGGGGGGGATTTTTGGTTTGTGGGAATGGAGAACAGCCCATAGGGAAGGGAGAGGGAAGGGAGACAAGCATTAAGTTTAAGGGGTTTCAAATTTAAGAGCTGACAAGTTTTTAATTTAAGGTTACTGAAATAAGGTGGCCAATACACAGAAGGAATTCTGTGCCACTTCCCAGGAGGTTTCTGAGAGGTTCCTTCTGAGGAGTTCCCCTGGCTGGATACAAACTGATGGATTTCCCCACATTTCTCTGGATTTGGGTTTGGTTTGGGATTTTGGTCTGTTTGCACTGCCAGCTGGGCTCTCAAGATGCAGTTCCTGGTCCCACCAACACAGCAGCACAAGGCTGAACTTTACCTAACCCTGGTGTTACTCAGAGAACCCCCAGCGAGCCCCCTGCTCGTGGTCCCCAGCTCAGGGACCCAAAGCTCACCGATGAGAGTGGCCAAGGAGCAATGAGGTACTGTTGGTGTAAACCTGATGGTGACCAGATACTCCTCCTCTGCTATCTCCTGCACCTCCACACCACCTTCTGTCACCACTTCCAGTTCTTCCAGAGTGTTGGGCTTCTCCGGGTCCCGGATGGTCCGGATAATGTCTGAAGCAGAAGGCAAGGGAGCAACAGTAAAGCAGCTTTCCAGGATTTAATAACAGCTATTTTCATTATCAACCACCTTCCCAGCACTGTTTGTTTTGCCCCCCTCTGGAAGGGGCAGAGCTGTAAATACCAGGGGCACTTTATCTCAAAAAATTCTTCTGGAAGGGACAATTTGAGGCATTTGTTGCTCGCTGTGGGTTTGTTTTTCATGTTCCATTAGTTCTGATTTAGTTCAGCAGCACTTCAGGGATTCCTCTGCTCTTTCAAATCTAATTATACAGGGACAGGTGCTTTATTCTGCAGAGGTCATGGACAAGCCTGACCCTGTGGATGAACCAAAATCCTCAAGATTTGCCTCCCTGCTCAGATTCACAACCTGGGTTATGAGTAATAACTTTTACTTAGGGCCACTGGTGTTTTAGAGTAGCTCTATTTAAACCAGTCAAGTTTTAAAACTGAGTTTGTTTGACATTGTGTCCTCAGTTCTCCGAACTAACAGTGCCCTGAGGCTTGACAAGGTCTTTGGAATCCTCCCCAAGCAGAACTTCCAGCAGTGAAATCTCTCCCCATTTTACAAAACAGTCACTCAGTAACAGCAATCTGCATTTCCCTGGATCCACTGGTGACCACCCTGGAATTCCTGGCCCTCCCAGGTGTGTCCAGCTGCTCCTCTGTCTCAGGTGAGGCAGGGGCTGAGCTGGGCAGCGATCCAGGCCTTTCCCAGCCCCTGTGGGAGCAGCCTCCATCCAGAGGGGCTCGGAGACACTTCTCCCGCACTCCCGGGGGTCCCCCCTCACCGTGAGCACCCCAAGGACACAACATCCCCCTGTGTCAGACTCTGCCCCTGCCCCCAGCGCTGCCTGCACCCTCCGGCACCCCAAGGGAACCCCTTCCCACCCGATTCCAACCCTCGAACGAGCCAAATAAACTTTCCTCCTGCCCCACACCGAGCACAGCCCCCTCCGGCCCCCGGGGACCCCTGTGGGTGCTCCGACACTCCAAGTTCCCGGGCACGGCTCTCACCACGCGGCTGGGCAGGCAGGGCAGGACCGGCCACGGCTCCCTCACTTCAGCCCCCAAGGGCACAGCAGGAACGCCCCTAAAATCACCCCCAGCCCCCTCACAGCCCCCCGCCCCACAGCCCCTCGCGGCCCTGGCCCCCTGCCCGCCCAGCCCCCCCGGCGGTCACCGTAGACCTCGATGGCCCTGTCGTGCTCCATGGCGCGGCTCGGGGTCGCATGGCCGGGACTATGGCCGGGGCAGCCCCAGAGCCGGCCCAGCGCCTGCGAGAGCAGCGCCCGCAGCAGCGCCATGGCCGCGCTCCGCCATCGCCCGGCCCGCGCCACCGGGGGCGGGGCCAAGGGGGAGGGACAATAGGCGGGGCAGGAGGCGGGGCCGCGCCGGGGGAGGGGATTGACCAATGGACGGGGAGGGTGCTGTGCTGGTCCCACCTAAGGGGCGGGGCCTGAGTGTGGGCCCGCCCCCTCCCGCTGTCCTGGGTGGGGACAGAGACCCCAGGGACAGACAGAGGGACCCCGGGAGAGCCCCAGGTCGGCGGCGCTGCGGGATTTGAGCAGCTCTCTAAGCACAGAGTCAGGGTTAGAAAGGAGGCGCTGTTTGTCGTACGCACGGGGCAGGGTGGATATTCCCACAAACCGAGCGTGCGAGGGAGTAAAAAGCGGGAAGATTTATACACTGAAGTTCGCATAAACTCGCCCGTCCAACCCACAGTTCCGTCCGCAACAGAGATCAAAGGAAGAGGCAGAGACAGAGAATTCTGCTTAAGACACGGGAAATTTTGCTCAAAGATAGGGAATTAAATATGCAGAGAATTCTGTTTACATACTCAGCGAATCCCGCTCACAGACACGAGCCGCACTGCCCTCGCCGGCGGGACTCACGGAACTACATCTCTCAGCGTGCATTGCCACCCTGCCCACAGGCCCCGCGCCGCGGTGTGTGCTGGGAGTTGTAGTCCCGGCTCCGCATTGGGCGGCCCGGTCAGCTGGGCGGAAGAAGGTGGTGCCCCGCCAAGATGGCGGCGGGCGGAGGGTGACGGAGGAGGAGGAGGCGATGGCCCCGCAGGAGCTCCGTGTGCTCCTGGTGCCCCGCTCCCTGGAGCCGCGGGGAGCCCCGCGGGACGCGGCCCGGGTGCGGCTGAGCAGGGCCCAGGACGCTCTGGGCACGCTCCTGGCCACCGGCGGCATCTCCGTGGAGCCGCTGGCGGCGGGCGGCGCCGGGCGGGCCCGGGGCACGGCCCTGCCGGGGGACTGGGCTGAGTAAGTGCCGGGGCACGGGCGGCCGGAGGGACCCCCGGGTGCGGCGCTGGGGGACCCGGGGGGGGCGAACAGTCGAGGGTGCGGGGGCTGAGGGGCTGCGAACCTGCCCCGAAGCGGGACAGGCTCCGTAACGCCCCGGTGCTGCAGAGGACGTTGTTTTACATCTCCTGACTTGTGTAGCTGTGGGAGAGTTCACTACGGGTGATCAAAAAGCCAAAGCAAACGAAAAGGGAATTTGTCAGGTCGTCTCTTCGGACCCCGTAGTGCCCTGACCTGCAGTCCTGCCCCCGTGGGTGACAGTCACTCACATGGTGTTTGTGACCCGCTTTAGTGGCTTTTAGTGCTGAGTCACAACCACAGTCACGTTTGAGTTCTGAACATCTGCAGTGTTGAGCAACACCAGCACTTTTCGAAGCTCCACAGAGTCACGGGATGGTTTGGGTTGGGAGGGACCTTAAAGCCCATCCAGTGGCACCCCTGCCACGGGCAGGGACACCTTCCATTATCCCAGGCTGCTCCGAGCCCCGTCCAGCCTGGCTTGGGGCATTCCAGGGTAGGAATGTTTCAGTGCCGTTGCGGGGCTCTGCTCTGTGCTTGCTCTGCACACCCTGAGCTGGTTCCTCTGTGCCTCCTCCCACCCACCCAGGGCAGGTCTGAGGCGCACTGGGGGAGTTTCTCAGCCCGAGCAGCGGGACAGATCTGGTGTTGTGGTGTTGGCAGGGACAGGGGGACAGCAGCAGAGTCTTTATCTGAAGGTTAAACGGTGCTGCCCTTCATCAGTGCACGGCCAGAACCGTCAGTGTGGGAAATGTGGGAAGGGAATAAATAAAGCCAATAACCCTCCTGGATGTTGTATCTCCAGCTTCGTGTGGGAGAATGCAGAAGATGATGGTTTGCAAGAAAACAAGTCAAAACTCCTGGCTCTTGGACAAAGTCATGGACTGTTTGTCTATGAACTCTCTGTAGAAGATGGAAAGTCCAGCCTAACCTCCCTGCACAGTTGTAAGGAAGAGACACTTAAAAAGCTCCTTGAAGTTAAAAACATTAGTGAGTAAATTCCAGTGTGTTCCTTTTGTGAAATTGTTGCTGGTCTGGTTCTGTGCTGGGACAAATGCAGACAGTGGGATTGAGCACTAGGGAAGTGTCAGGTACTTCCACTCTAATTTAGAGTGATCAGCAGGAAAATTAAAAGGGACATTTCTATGTTCAAAGGTGACATTGGTAGAGGGAATTAAACTGTTGTAGGGTCACGAGTTTGGGTGATATGAAATTAAAAATAAATTTTAATGAAGCATGTTCAAGCAACCCTGCCCTCTCAAATTTCCCCTTTAATATTGGAACTGATGGTAAGAAAACAGAGACAGAACTCCTCACTAACCCGGCAGAGAATGATTAAGTGTTTAACCTTATGTTTTATGATTAGCAAACATAGTGTACAGTTACACTTTGCAGGACCTTTGGTGTTTTACATGTTCTTAAACAGTCTCCCTTCCTAAAATATTTTTATTTCCAAAGTTTGTAGCTTTTATTTTCAGTGCTGACTGAAATATTATTTTGGGATGATTTTTTGTGTTCTTCACTTAAAAAACCACATAAAAAGTTTTAGGAAACTGTTCTAAAATCAGTGACATAGAGAGTGAGATTTAAAGCAAAACAAGCCCCCCTCCCCAATCCCAATTTTTTTAAGATGGTAGCAGAGAATGAATTTGAGCTGTCATTTTCTTGGGGTTCCTTTGCAAATTGAAATTCCCAGCTGGCTGTAATCCTAAAACATGTTTAAATTTACAGGTCTACCTTCAGTTTTCTCTGTGAAGATTCTGTCTTTCGGAAACAACAAGTGCAAACTTCTGCTCAACCAGTTCATCCTTGTGCATCTGACCTTTCCTGGGGAAGACTCACCCTCAGAGACCTGTGACTGCTTCACCTTGGATTTGCCTCCAGAGGTTTTGGGGAGAATAACAGATTCCTGCTTCTGCAGAGGGATCCTGTTCCTGTTGGATAGTGCTGGCTGGATTTGTATCCTTTGCAGGAGAGAGGAGCTCTCAGGGGAAATGATCGGGAAGAACAAAGTTGTTTTTCTTTTCTGGCAGGGTTGAGCAGAAATTTCTTTAAAGACATTTAAGTATCTGTTTTGAAGATGCCTCCAAAAAGGGTTATGTAGCAAAATCTTGGTTATTGTAGTGAAAATGCCGTAGTTGTGTATCAAATGTTTCTCAGCACAGCCCTGCAAATCTGTTTCCCACTGGATTAATGTTTTCCAGTGGTTCTGCTCTGTGGGTCTGTGTATAATGCACTGACATCTACTGCCAGCTAATTCCTTGAGTAAAGTTAGAAACTCCAGAGACACACAGGGAGTCACAGCTGGGGAGCCAGATGTGTGTGTTGTGCTGGGCAGGGGCTCAGACCTGGCTGTTCCACGAGCTTCCATTTCCCTGTGCTTGGCCATTGCCTCTGACACCTGTAACAGTGCAGGGAGCTCAGGGTACCCTTGCCTGGCCATTTTACCCCTGTAACAGTGCAGGGAGCTCAGGGTACCCTTGCCTGGCCATTTTACCCCTGTAACAGTGCAGGGAGCTCAGGGTACCTTTGCCTGGCCATTTTACCCCTGTAGCAGTGCACTGAGCTCAGGGTACCTTTTCCTCCCCACAGAATGCCAGGACAGGTCACTCCAAGTATCACTTGACTCCTTTGAGGTGGCACAAGTGGCATGTTTGTGCAGCACAATCCTCTGCTGATCCCAGCTGAGCTTGGAATGCTCTTGGAAAACAAACACTCCTCATATTCTGTGGGGCAGAGCTTGGCCTGGACCACAAGTTACCCAAAATTCACCATCTGCCCCTTCTGTGTTACTCCTTTGTTGGAGCCTGTGAGCCCTGGCGTTTTCCTTGACGCTGTCTAAAGACATATTTGACTCTTTTGATGGTGCCAGCCTAGGCAGGATCAGTGTAGCCCTGTGCCAGGGAGAGGGGCAGGCTGGGGGCAGGAGCCCAGCCCTGCCATCCCCACTCAGTGCCCTGAGGGTGTCCCAGGATCTCAGCATGGCTGTGGTGCTCAGTGCTGCCCACTGTGCCCTCTCCGTGGAGCTCAACAGCTACTTCAGGTATGGTGGGTTCCTGAAGGAAGAGTTTGGGTTCAGCTGACTTTAGGTGCCTGGCCTTGGTCCTGCAATGGTTGAGGTGCTGTCACCTTTTTATTTTGAGTTCTGGCCCTGTGGTAGAGCAGAAATTTCCCATTTATTTAAACATTGTCCTTTATTATTCGTTCCAGTTTGCACTCTGTCACTTTAACCAAAGAAAATTTATCTATTAACATCTATCTGTTTTATCTATTAAGTATGTTAACAAATAGAAAACCTTTGTATTGGACTCTCTGTTTTTCCTAGGAAGATTAGGATAGGTGTTCTCAGTGCCAAGGTGGGTGGCAGCACCTTTTAGAGATGCTGTGAGGTCTGGGATTATTAAACTCCTGATACACCTGTGCTGATTTGGCTTGGTAAATTAGGGCCAGGTTGTAGTTGAGAGGAAGGAGCACCAGGGTTTGATGGCTCACCTGGACACCTCCCTGGGAGTGCTGCTGACCTGAGAGGAAGCTGCTTTGCTGAGGGCTCCTGGAGGGGTTAAACAGCAAAAAAATCTCAAGAGGGAGGTGAAAATTAATATTTATTTCTTTACAGGCAGTTCCCTGAGCATTTGCTCTGTAAGAGAGATCCTGAAAGTCTTTGCATGGAGCCTCCTGAAGGAGTGGATGAGGATGACCTTGCCAGTTCTGAGCACAGCATGGAGCTCCTGCCTTCACCCTTCCGCACAGACAGGTACTGAGGGAAAACCCTGCCTGGGACAGGCTGGGCTTTGCTTCCTTTACATCAGTCATAATAAATCCTGGGGGTTTTTTCAGTTGTAATTGTGATAAGTAAAATCAGCTCATTCTGCTCTAAATGTTTTGAATTGAGGATGATGTTTGCAAATGGGCTGAGAGAACTTTACATGTGTCATTAAACAACTACCAAACAGTAATTGCTGATAAGGGGTTACCTTTCATTTAAACACTA